TGCAGACCCCGAGGGCCCCCCGGGAAGCTGGCAACCCCTCAGGGCTGGGACGGAGGCCTGCAGGGGGCAGGGAGCAGCTCAGAGGGACTCTCCTGTGCCGGGTCGGGCCGCCCTGCCAGCCCCCTGTCCCGTCACGGAGCAGCACCCCCCGCCCCAGGCTCTGCCCGCCTTCGCTGCCTGGCGCCCCGGCCCTGCCCTCCCTCACTCTTCTCGGCACCCGATGGTCACGAAGGAGGACACGGCTCCCGCCACGTCGCAGCAGCCCAGCGAGGGGCCCAGCTGCAGGACAGGCCGCTTCCTCTCCGGGAAGGACCCCCAGGGCTAAGCTTCGCGGCCACCAGGGACCCCCGCGCCCGAGCCCCCCGACGATGCATACCTTCAGGTGGCCGTAGGTCAGGCCGGGGCTCTGGCCGCTGTCGCGCCAGCTCTCGTGGTTGACCCGGTCCAGGATGGAGAGGCTGTCCAGGCGGTGGCCCCGGAAGGAGCCCAGCGCACCGAGCAGCCGGGTGAGCAGGTGGTCGGTGGAGACCCTGGGGGCCAGGACAGACACCGCAGTGTCGGCCTCGGGGCCTCAGCCGGGGGCGCAGGGCCCCCCGCAGCCGCGGCCTGTCCCCAGGAGGGAAAGCCCCGGCTTCCCCGGATCAGAAGCCCGTGTGCGCAGGGTGGTCCAGGCCGGCACCCGGCGCCCAGCCTCCCCGCCCATGTGTCCCAGGAACCGCCCCGGCCGGGCAGTCGGATGTGAAGGGTGGGTTTTCATGGAGACTCCGGGCCCCAGAACACGGAGGGGTACGGGGAGCCTCCTGGCGCTGGGCTGACACGTCCAGTCCGGGCCCCACTGGAGAGGTGCGGCCTTCACCGGGCAGCCCCGCAAGCCCTGAGGGGCTCGGAAGCCGCCCCCAGCAGCAGGGCCGGCCCTTGGGGTCTGCGCACCTGGGCGCTCCCTGCATGCTTGATGGGCCGTGGTGGCCAGGGCCCCGGGGGCCCCACTCTTCGTGGAGGCTCGGGACCGACGCGCTGCACCCCAGCGTCCGGATGGACGGCCCTGCTTCCCTGCACGCGGGACGGCTCAGCCCACCCTCCCCTTCCTGCCCCCCTCCTACGTCCCACAGACACCACCTCGGGGTGTCCTCTCGCTGACGTGAGAGAGGAAGGGCCTCACCGAGCTGGCGGACTGGGGGCGGCCGTGGGGCCCTGGGGGGCGGCCGGGGCTCCGGGGCCGGTGGGCGAGGGGGACCTGCACCAGCCCCACGGCTGGGGGATGCTCCGGATCGTCTGGTCACCCTCCCCGTGTGGGGCCCCTCCTGAGCGCTCCGGGCACCTGCAGGCCCCAGACCAGTCGCTGTCCTCTTGGTGACTTTCACGCCCGAGACAAAGGTGTCAGCTGGGTCGCGGGGATCCCGCCCAGGGCGGCCCCTGCGTTTCCCAGTTTCTCCGCGCCTCATCCCCGCAGGCCTCCTACTCGGGGCCAGGGGTTCGGTGGTCAGCAGGACCATCCTGCAGGCTCCCCGGGACCCCACAGGCGCAGGAGGCGCGTCCTACCTCCAGAGCTGGGCGCCGGCCGGCACCAGGGCCACCTCCTGGCCGACGATCCTTCTCAAGCTGCCCCCAGGAAACGCACGCATCAGCTGGGCCCCCTCCAGGGCGGGCACCCGGTGCTTTCTGCGAACCACAGGCACGACGTGGAAGCGGATCGTCCTCCAGCCGCTGGACACCAGCAGGGACAGGTGCAGCTCCTCCTCCCTCAGGCTGTCCGCGTTCAGGGAACCTGCAACAACGCGCCGGGCCCTGGAACCGCCGGCTCCACTGCCCCCCCCACCTTTCGGGAGGCCGGTGTCGGGAGGGGCCCGCGTGGTGCCCGGCGCCCGGCACGGCCTGGACCCCAAGGCTGACAGTGCGGGAGCCTGCCCTCCCGGGCTCCACGCCGCCCCGGGGCCCCCAGAACCTCAGCCCGGCCGGCACAGCAGGGAAAGTGCTGCTCGCCCCCCTCGCTACTCAGACGCAGCCCCGTGCCCGCCCCCCGACCCCGAACCCCCACCCACCCAGCAGGGGACATCCCCAGGGTGATGGGGCTGGGGGCTGGGTGTACGGCTGCCCTGGTAAGACCCGGGCCTTCTACTTCAGTCGTCACTTCCCCCAAAACATATCAACACCACACAGAGAGGAAGAGGAGCTGTGGTGTGGGGGGCACTCCTATCCCCCCGGCCAGCCCTGGGTTCAGAGCGGTCTCCCCTTCCCTCCCCCAGCCCAGCCAGGCTGCGAGGCCCTCGCCTGGGAGCCGAGCCCCCAGGGAGTCCCCAGTACGTGCCTTGGACAAAGGTCCCCGGGAACGAGCAGAGGGAGCCGCCTTCCCCTTGTCCCACCCCACACACAACACTGGGGGTCCTATAGGAAGGAGCCTGCACCTCCCGCACACCCCCTCTCTCCCCATGCAGGCCCCTTCCCCCCCATGCAGGCCCCTCCCCCAGGCAGACCCCCCCATGCAGGCCCCCTCCCCACGCAGACCCCTTCCCCACGCAGGCCCCTTCCCTCCCATGCAGACCCCTTCCCCATGCAGGCCCCTTCCCCCCCATGCAGGCCCCTTCCCCCCATGCAGACCCCTTCCCCATGCAGGCCCCTCCCCATGCAGGCCCCTCCCCCATGCAGGCCCCTTCCCCCCCATGCAGGCCCCTTCCCCCCATGCAGACCCCTTCCCCATGCAGGCCCCTCCCCATGCAGACCCCTTCCCCATGCAGGCCCCTTCCCCCCCATGCAGGCCCATCCCCCACGCAGATATCTTACTCCCCATGCAGACCCTCCCCCATGCAGCATGCAGGCCCCTTCCCTCCCATGCAGACCCCTCCCCCAGTCTCCTATAGGGTAGTTCTTGGGTCTCTTCCTGGAACCCAGCCCAGACCAGGTCATGGCCCTGCCAGCTGGGCCCCCCCAACGAGCCTCAGTTTCCCCATCAGTTGTAAAGGAAGGAAGGCGTCCAGGGATCCCTGGCTCCCCCCGCTTCAGCCTTGAGGTGCGTCCCCCCAGAGCTTCCGTCGGCGGCTTTGTGTCCTCAGCTACCATGGGGCACACATTTTGGCCACAGAGGCGACGGCTTGGGAGGCGGCCAGCCACACCCGCCCTGTCACGACCGCGCCCGCCGCAGCCCCCAGCCCGGTCTCACCGGTTCCGTCCCTGGGTGGGAGCAGCCTGAACCTTGTCACCTGGAGCCTCTGTGCTTACCTTTTAAGGTTAAGTGTCAGGAAGCAATGCCTGGAATTTCCCTGCACACCCAACGCCCCGGGCCCCTGGGCGGGGCACCCAGCCGCCTCTGCCTGCGCAGCCGGGGACGGCGGGGACCTTGGAGTGTGGCTGCACGGCCCAGGGCGGGGCGCACCCCAGCGGGAGGGGCGCAGGCCGGCGGGGGACAGGGCCAGGCGGGAATGGCCACGTTAGTCACCCGAGAAGACAGAAGTGGCCCCAGTAATTGGAAGGTTCAGAAGATGGCCAGAGAAGATGTGGAAGGGGCCGGGGGCACTCGGCGCGCCTGATGACGGGCTCCGGCTGCCCTGCGAGGACGGCCACCCGCCCCGGGCCACCGGGCAGGTCTGGGGACGGCCAGGGTTGGAAGTCGCCCCTCCCCTTGGTGTTGGAAGAGCACTCGGAGCAGCCGGAGCAGCGGGGCAGGTCGCCGTCCCTGAGATGGGCTGACCGGCCCCGTCGTCTGACATCACGGCGGACGTGGGGACCAGGTGAGCACCCAGGGCAGCCGCCGCCCCCGGCCTGTCCCCCCCCGGCCTGTCCCCCCCAGGGGAAGCCGGACCCTCTGCTCCAGTCCCGGCCCCTTCAGGACAACCCGAGGCCTTTGCTCCAGCCCCAGGGGACGCCCTCCTGTCCCGGGCTCTCAGTCCACGCGGCGCCAGGACCTCGGTCCGACCCCGGGGCTCAGCACCCAGATCACACCAGCGAGGCCGGAGGGGAGACTGAGGCCCGCCTGCCCTGCACGGCCTGCTCAGGGCCCAGGTCACCAAGGGGCAACCAGACCATAAATCAAAACGGATCTGTGCACACATGTGCACGCGAACACAGCCCCTACACACGCTCATGCGTGCACGCTTACACCTGCACACGCACAGGCCCACACGCACACGTGACCATGACCCCGTACACACACGCGTGCACATACCCAGGCTTCCCACCCGTGCCGTGTGGCACCCGTACGACCGTCGCCCTGGCCTGGAGCTGCTCGCAGAAGCACCCAGGACCAGCAGGGACCCTCCGCCGACGGGTCAGCGGCCTAACGAGTCCCGGCCGCCGCAGCGTGACCTCCGGGTCCTCATGCCAGAGCCAGAAGCGCAGGACCTGTCCTCTGAGCGGTGTTTGGGGCTGGAAGGGACCTCGGACCCCAACACGCAGGTGCTGAGAGACCGCAGTCTGTGCACACGTGCACCCACACACGCCCCCACGTGTGCACACTTACGCCTGCACACGCACACACACATGCGCTCGCGCTGCCCTCACATCTGTGCCCAGTCACTCGGCGGCTACCTGGCGCGATGAGGCTCTGGTGCTTGCAGTGCACGATGGCCGCCACCAGAAGGTCCTTGAGGACGCGCAGGACCTTGCTGGGCACGATGTGGCCACAGCACTCGGCGCTCCCGTCCGAGGAGACGTTGAAGACGTCGTCGGCCGTCCACCGCTCAGGCTGGGGCCCTTCCCGGGACACCCCCAGGCGGCAGGACGCGGGGCCGTCCCCTGCCTCGGCGGCCCCCACCTCCTCCACCAGGAGGGCCTCGGCGTCCACGCACAGGGGCACCTCCATGTCCAGGGGGTCCTCGGAGGAGCGCAGGGCGAACTGGAAGGCCTCCAGGTCACGGGAGTAGTCCACGAGGAAGCGGGGGTCCAGGTCGTGCACACGCTCCAGGACGGTGAGCAGCACGTCCTCGGCCCGCTGGTAGTCCTGCGCCCGCGGCGCCCCCCTGGAGCGGATGGCCCGCAGGTAGTGGTGCCACAGGGGCACCTGCACCGCCATGGCTGCGCCTGGGGCAGGGCAGCCCGCGAGGGCCACACTGAGGCCGGCGGGCCGGGGGGACGCACCTGCCCTCCAGGTGGGGCCCAGCTCCGCGGAGCAGGATCCCCGAGCACGGCGCCACCACCACCACTGCCACCCGGTTAAATAGCCCAGCCTGGCCCTGGCCTCTCAGGTGGGGCTGAGTCAGTTGCCAGCAGCCAGGAATGTCACTGGGAGCCCGGGGAGGGGCTGGGCTCCTCCCTCCTGTCACCCCGACTCCGCCCCTCCCAGGGCCTGGCCACCTCCCCCGCACCGTCCTGGGAGCAGGGACAGCCACGGGGGCAGGGACCCAGGGCGGCCCCACTACTGCGATGACAGAGGCCAGGCCGGGTGGTGGCTCCCCGAGCCCCCGTGGGGGAGCCCCTGGGCAGCTGCACTTGCCCGGCAGCCTCAACACCCGCTCAGGCACCTGTGCTCGACCAAGAGCTTAGAGGGGGCACCTCGGGGGGACCCAGGTGTGAATCCTGCCCCCCCGGGGCCTCCCTTCCAATCCCCAAGGCTGCGGAGAGCCCGCACCCACCCAGGGCTGCAGCTGGAGGCCCGCCGCTGCCCCGGTTCAGGGGAAGTCTCCCCGGCCCCGCCTCGCTGGGTGAAGGCCTCGCCCCCCCAGCGCCCTGCTGGGAGCCCCGCCCAGCCCAGCCTGTCTCCCGCTCAGCTCAGGCTCAGGCGGGCAGGTCCCGACCAGCCGGGGAGCCACCCCCGCCGACCCTTGGCCCCTGGACGCTGGGTGCCCCGCTGGAGGGTGTGCAAACAGCGAGCCTGGAAGTAGCCCCTAACAAGGGATCCTGGAGACGCTGCCTGCCGCCCGCCCTCTGCCCTGGGGAGCCCCACCCGCACCCCCACCCACGCAGGGGCCTCGGGCGCCACCGGCAGAGCCTCCATCCAAGGCGCGCACTTCCTGGTGCTGGTGCTTGGAGGCCCCGGGCCTGGGCCTCCGTCTCCACACCTCCCGGGACGGGGAGCTCACCACCTCTCAGGGCAGCCACAGCACCGCCAACCAAGAGACACTCTCCGTCCTCAGAGCGGGCCCAGTGCTGTCCTGTGGTCTTGCCCAGAGCATGTCCGTCCCTGTCCTAGGGCGGCCACTCAGCTCAAGGGCTGCCTCCCCCCCCGCCCCCCCGCACAGGTCCTTCAGTCTCCAGGGACCCGACCGGTAGGCAGGGGCATTGCTGCAGAGGAGCTGGTCCCGCAGCCCTGCCCCTGGCCCTGGCTCCCGGGGCCTATGGGCCCCTCCGTCGCGCCCGGGAGGCCTCTCCCCCAGGGTCAGGGGCTCGTGCAGCCGAGGGGCTCAGAAGCTGCTCACGCTCAGGACACGTGGAGCCGTTGGGCCTCAAGGGGCTCCCGAGACGCCTCCTGCTCCGGCGGTGATGACAGCGCCTTGGCCACCAGCTGGCGGGAGACCAGCCACCATTCGTGCGCGGTGCCCTCCTGGGCAGCACCCCCCACGGCGGCCAAGGTGCCCGCAGCCCCACCGTCACGGGCGCAGCACGGCCGAACTCCGGTGTGTGGCCCCACGACGCCCAGTCAAGGTGGACGCGGTCTGACACGCGTGCCCTGTGGCCGAGGACGGGGCTGTGAGTGCACCTTGGTTGCTCCTGTGGCGTGTTCCCGCCTGCCAGGCCCCGGGGGCGTCGGCCACACGTGCCCCCCAGTGGCCCCGGGAAGCGTGAGGCTGCTGCAGGGAGGTGAGGCGCCACCCGGCTCCCCGGCCCCGGAGCCCCCTCAGAAGGCCCCGCTCCGTTTCCCAGCTGCCTCCAGCGTCCGGTGCAGGGCTGCCGGCCCGCAGCCTCCTGGTCTGTGGAAGGGGCGAGGGCCTGAGGCAGAAGGCCCCCAGGAAGTGCAGGGGGGTGGCGGGTCAGGGGGTGCAGAGGGGCAGGGGTGGGGCAGGTCAGGGAGTGCAGGGGAGGGCGAGGAGGGTCGGGGGGGCAGGGGGAGGGGGGTGGGTCAGGGGGTGCAGGGGGAAGGTGATGAGGGTCGGGGGTGCAGAGGGCAGGTGGAGGGTGGGGCAGGTCAGGGGGTGCAGGGGAGGGCGAGGAGGGTCAAGGGGTGGGTCAGGGGGTGGTGCAGGGGGGGGGGTGGGAGTTCGCTGCCTTCCCTCGCAGAGGCAGAGACCGCTCTGGCATAAAGGCCCCACCCCCCCGCCTCCATCAAGCAGGGTGCACGTGGGGCTGCGCCCGGAGGTGGCGGGTGGAGGGCGCTGAGGGCTGTGGGGCAGGAAGCTGGGGTCCCCTGTGGCTGGGGGGCGGCAGAGGGGTGGCCGTCCAGGTGTCTGCGGGCGCTCGGGGTCGCCCCAGGAGAAGCAGGGGCGCGGCCGGCCAGCACGGTCACCCGGACATGGCCACCCCAGCCAGTGGCACGAGTAACAGGGGTGGACGCCGGGCCGTGAAGCTTCCGGAGGCGAGAAGGGGCTGGGGGCAGCCACCACCCTAGACGGAGTCCTGGGGGCTCCCCGGGGAAGGGGGCCCAAGACGGAGGCCCCGGGCAGAGGGGCGGGGGCACCGACGCGTGGTTGGGAGCGACCCAGGTTTGTCCGTCCGGGGGCCGGGGGCCAGCGGGGTCAGACCGACTCCCCCGCCGCCCACTAGAGCCAGGGTCCGCCACGGAGCGCAGCGCCCCCAGGTGCTGTAAGCAGGGCTGAGTTTGGTCTGGTTTTGTGGTTTTTATGATGATGAATAAACATAAAATTTACCATCTTAACCATTTTCAAATGTCAAGCCCCGTGACACGAGGGACCTTCACACCGGGCGCCTCCGGCTCTCCGCCCGCCTCTAGGACCCCTCCCCAAACTGAAACTCTGTCCTCCTCGTGGGAGAATCCGCCCCCTCCCCGCCCACAGTTGCCAAAACCCCCTCCCCGTTCCCCCGACCCTGCCCGGCACCCACCACACCCACCGCACCCACCGCCACCCTCGTTCTGTCTCCAAGATTTTTTTATTTTAGGATTTTGTTTTTAAGAGGTCTCTGCACCCGATGCGGGGCCGGAAGTCACGGCCCCAGGATCTGGAGCCGCCGAACGCCCGCCGTCCCGTCTAAGGACCTCGTGGCCGGGGTCAGCGCTGTGGCGACACTCGCTCCACGGAGCCCAACGCCCGTGGGGCCCGGGCAGTCCCTGGTCCTGGTGGCCGCGTCCTGGCCCCTCCCGGGTGGCACCTCCCTTGATCCGCCCTCCGTCCACGGACACTTGGACGACGGCTGGCCGTGCGGGGGGCAGCCCCCGGGGAGGAGTCCCCAGGCGCAGACTGGCTGGCAGCTGGCAGGGGAGCGGAGGGCGGGCCGGGAGGCCCGGGGCTGGGGGGGGGGCGCCTGGCTCCCTGGAAGCCTCCCGCCTCCTCTGGGGTTGCCCCGCGAATGACCCGTCCTCCCGGGGCGTGTCGGGGCCGTGTGTCCCGTCCCCGCAGGCCCTGCTGCAGCTGCCCGCGGCCCGTGTGTCGGGGCGAGTACAAGAGATGCCGCCAATGGCACGGGGTGGCCCTCGCACCAGGAAGCTGGGACGCCCGGGAGGGTCTGAATCTGGTGGGGCGGCTGCTGGTGGCCTTGGGCAGGGCGGACAGGAAGTGGTGAGGCCACGGTCCTCCTGATCCCGGCCCTGCCCACCCCACCGGGGCGCTGCCTGCCTCCGTTCCGGAACATTCCGCGGGGCCGGGCCCAGGCCCAGGGCTGCCCTGTCGGAGGCTCTCCTTCTTGTCCGGTGACAGCCGGGGACCAGGAGCCACGAGCAGGGACCCCAGGCCGGGAGGCTTGGAATGGATGTACGGACCCTATAAGGGCCTGGAGGAGAGTGCAGGGGCGGAGGCTGGCGGGAGGGCTGGGGGGCCCGGGCCGAGGGGAACGCTGGGGTGCGTGGGGGCGGGGCAGGGCCAGGATGCCCATGGGGACACACGCCCCCATTACATGCTGCCCCACACCGCGGAGGCGGCTGTGCCCCCGAGCCCCCAGCCCACCTCGCGGCGGTGGGGGTGCCATAGACAGCCTTGGGTGCGGGAGGTGCCCCAGCCACAGCCCAGGGGAAGCCGAGGCTCCGGCCAGCCCTGCGCGTCCCATGGGGCTCCGTCCACCCGAGGGCCCGCCCATCCCCACACGGCCACTCGGGTGGCTGTCGCCCCGGGGGCAGCGGGCAGAGGCCTTGCGGATGGCAGCACCGCGCCGTGTTCCTCAGGACGGGTCCCTCTGGTCCTGCCCGGGCGGGCAGCCTCTGAGGAGCGTGCGCTCTGCGGGGTCACGGGGGTCGCCCCCGCTCAAGACGGTCTCTGCTGGGAGGGGTGCAGCCGGGCAGGGGGCGGGGGGACGCTGGCTCAGGAGGCCCTGGGAGACCCCGGGGACCGGGTGCAGGTCTGTGCCTGTCCCTTCCCTTGCCTCGCCCCCCGGAACTGGGTCCCGCCCCCCCAATTAGGCACAAATGCCCCCCAGAGCAGGTGGTCCCGGGGTGGGGGGGGCTCCAGAGGGAAGCCAAGCCCAGAGGGCGAGTCCACGTGCAGGGCTAGGACGACGGGGCCTCCCTCCGTCCCTGGGCGGTGCTTTCCCCACCCGGGCCCCCGTCCGGCCCTCTGGGGACGCCACCCCACCACTGACCCCTAAGTTCCTTGCCAGGTGTTGGGGGAAACGTCACAGTGTACGATCCTCCCTCGGGAGGAGCCGGTGGTCCGCCCCCGGTGCACACTTGGTCCAGGGAGAAGCCCCTGGAAGGCCGGATGGGCGCAGGCCGAGGCCTGGGGGAGGCCAGCCCCCTGCCCCGCGCGCGGTGGCTCCGGTGCACAGCGCCACCAGGGCGCCTCCAGGTCTCCAGGAAACGGCTTCCAGACAACAGCGCTCCGCGGTCCCCATGGCAACAGGGCGGCACTCCTGTTTCCAGGGAAACTCAATCCCTGCGTCGCGGTTGCCACGGCAACGCCTCCGCCCTTAGCTGGCCACTCAGGTCGCCAACCCAGAGGGGGCAGCTGGGCGCCCTGACGGAGGAGCCAGGTGCCGCAGGTGTGCGGCTGCCGCCCTGAAGCGGGTCCGGCCCGGCCAGGGCTCCAGGAGGAGACTCACCGGGCGGCCCAGCCCCAGCCCCCCGAGCCCTGTGCCCCCCGAGCCCCGTGCTCCGTCCCAGATGAGCTCCGCCTCCAGCGTGCCCAGCGATGGGAAGGCCCCTGCGCCGCGGTCCCCACCCGGGCTGGACGCCGTGATCCAGGTCAGTGGGGCGCCCGCCCTCCAGCACCCTCCTGGGCATAGGCTCCGAGAGCACCTTGGGAGGGTGCCCAGAGGGGCCACACCTCCCCGGCTCCAAGGGGCACGTGGCGCTCACATGGTCAGCGTGGGCACGCGCACACACATACACACGCAAGCGCAGCCTCGGCTCCGGAGAGAGGCCCGGGAGGGACTGGACCCAGCACCCGGCCTCCCCGTCCGCGGCGTGGCTCAGGCCGGCCGCCCCTCCTCTGGGCCTCGGCTCCCGGCCCGCACACCGTGGGGCGGCAGGGGGTGCGCACAGGGACCCTCCCCCGCTGGGACCCCGCTCTGGGATCTCACTCACGCTTCCCTCGTGGCAGAGGTAGGGGCCGCCCCGCTGGGTGGGCCACGTCCTAGACCTCAGACTCGGCTGCCGGGTTGACGCGGCCCCAGGTAAACAGCCCAGGTCGCCAGAGGACAGTAACGGCCCACAGCTGGTGCCGTGCGATGCAGTAACACCGGTCGCCTTCCACGTGCTCGGGCGCTCGGGCGCACGCACACGGATGTCCACGCGGGATAGAACGCGGTGGGACGGGACCCCTGAACCGGGTGATGCGACAGGACAAAACAAGGCCCCGGGCGGGTGACCGAGTCCGGCTCCCACGGGGCGTCCATCCCGGAAGCAGGGGACACACGGAGGGAGGGCAGGCTCGCACGCTCCCGCCTCAAGAGCTGGCCGCAGCCGTCGACTCCCGTCAGCCACGCGGGGCCCCATCACCCGCTCTGGATTCCAGAAGAGAGGCTGGGCCCCCCCACCCAGCCACGTCGCTATGGTTACCAGTGGTTCCTGGGGCCCTTGTCTGGCAGTGGGCACAGGTGCTTGGCAGACGCGGCCACCCCCCGCCCCCACTGCCTGCGGGGAGCTGTGCCCTGAAAGCCACAGGGAGCCCGGCCGAGGGCCCTCTGCCCGTCCAGCCGACACCTGTTATTTGCGTGTGGTGATGGGGATCGGGGTGCCACCCCCCGGGGCGCAGCAGGCAGGCGCCGAGACGCCCAGATAGGCCTGTCCAGACGGGGAGGCAGGGCCCGAGGGCTGGAGGCGCCGCAGACGGGGAAACCGAGGGCCCGGCGGGGTGTGGCTGGAGGTCACGGCCTGCGTGTGACCCGGCCTGCACACACTCCCCATGCCTGGGGGGGCCTCCGGCAGCGCCTGCACGGCACCCTAGGGCGCCTGGCCCCGGCCATCCAGCTCTGATCCGGGTTCTCGGAGGGTGGGGCACCCCGAGCCGACAGCGGCAGACGCGCTCCCGCGGGACAGCCCTGGCTCGGGGGCCAGTCGGCAGGGAGCCGATCCGGGTCTCGGCCCCTTAAGATAAGAGCTACCGGATGTGCCAGGCTGTTTCGGGGGTAGGTTTCGATTAATGATAATTTCCCAGGAATTTGTCCGCGATATCTAAATTTTCAAATTTCCGGGCGAAAGTTGTTCCCGACATCTTCTTGCTGCCGTTCGGCTGAGGATCCGAAGCAGGGTGGCCGCTGGCCCTGGGGTTGGGGGGCGGGACACCGGGGCGTCGGTGTGCCACTCGGGGGCGTCCGGGCACGCGGAGAGGTGCGGGTCACCCCGAAGCCGTGCCCCTGTTTCTTTGATTTCGGCCCTTGTTGATCCTCTTTACGGTGTTTTTATCTTCTGTTTCCTTAACGTATATATTTATTATTCCTTTGCTTCTCAGTTCTTTGGGGTTGTTGCTCACCTAATCTTTCAAGATGTGTGCTTAGCTCATTCATTTACAGACTTCCTTTACAAAAAAAAAAATTTTTTTAACGCGACATCTGGGTGTCTCCATCGGTTGAGTGTCCGACTCCTGGTTTCAGCTCGGGATGTGATCTTGCCGTCGTGGGATCGAGTCGGGCTCGGTGCAGAGTCTGCCTCAGATTCTCTCTCCCTCTTCCCATCTCTCCCTCGGCACATGTGCGTGCCCGCTTACCCCCCCCCTCTCAAATACAAAAATTTTGTTATAATAATTCTCATTTGTGTCCAGTTCAAACTGTTTCCTAATTTCCATTGTGATTTTATCCATGGGCTATCCAGAGGTATAAATAGCCTAATTTCTAGACATACAGAGATTTGTAAATCGTTTTTCTTTTCTTTTTTAAGATTTTTATTTTATTTATTTATTCATGAGAGACACACACAGAGAGAGAGAGAGAGGCAGAGACACAGGCAGAGGGAGAAGCAGGCTCCATGCAGGGAGCCCGACGCGGGACTCGATCCGGGGTCTCCAGGATCACGCCCCGGGCTGCAGGCGGCGCTAAACCGCTGAGCCACCGGGGCTGCCCTGTAAATCGTTTTTCTACGCCTCATTTGCCAATATTGTGCTCAGAGGTTTTGTTTGGAATGTCTTAGAGCAGAAAAGCCCATTAGCACCCACAGGGAGGCAGGAAGGTGAGTGGGCATGTGGCCTGGCCTCGGCGGGGAGCTCCACGCTGGAAATAGACATTTGGAGTTGTGGGCGTGTGGGTAACCGGGTGAGTGTGCACAGAAAGAGGAGATGGAGCACGCCCACACTTCGAGATGGGAGAGGCAAGAAGGAACCAGCCAAGGAGACCAAGACGGGTGGCCAGTGAGGTGAGAACAGCTGAGACGGGTGGCGTCAGGACGCGAGTGTTTCAGGGGGAGATGGTGACCCAAATGCTGCCAACACATCAAGGAAGAGGGAGACCCTGGACCACTGGGCTTAGCAACATGGAGGTCGTGGGAGACCTTGACTCCAAGGATACCTCAAGGCACAGGAAGGAGCAACGCCTTTTTTCTTTAGAGAGGGATATAAATTTAAACAGTTTGGTCCTCTAAGAATGGTCCAAAAGAGAGAAAAATCACTGATACGTAAGGAAGAAGGAAGGCTTGCTGGAGGAATGTGTTAGGGACATGACAGAGGATGAGGTGGGTTGGGTTGGGTTGGGTTGGGTTGGATCAGATGGGAAGGATGGAATGGGATGGGCTGGGCTGGACGGGATGTCTTGATGTGGCACGGGGCATGATACGATGGGACGAGTGGACAGATGGAAGACAGTGAAGGTTGGCGAACTTTTTCTGGAAAGGGCCGATAATTAATATTCCGGGCTCTGCAAACCGTGAAGTCTCTGTAGCAACCACTCCACTCTGTTGCTGCAGCACGAAGGCAGCCGTGGACAACACGGAAACAAATGGGTATGATTATTCTCCAACAAAACCTTATTTACGAACACGCGGCAGGCCGGATGTGGTCCACAAGCTGCAGTTCGCAGAAGTGTAGAATCCGAGGATGGACGAATAAAGGGATATGCAGGTCGGTGGGTGGAGGGGCTTCATGAGGGCGGGGGCAGCCCCGGGTGGGGCAGCGGTAGATCGGAGAGCGGATGGAAAGACATTGCCCACAAAGGGTGGGGGAAGGAGTCGATCCCACAGTCAAAGAACTGGCCTCTGAGACAAAAAAAAAAAAGAATCAGTGATTTATTTTCCCCTTTGGGTTGAAGTGTTATTGCAGGCGTGTCCAGAAACACGCAGAACACCCTAAGTGTGCAGCGTAACCGAGCGGCTGGCACCACGTCTCAGAATGCCAGAAGCCGCCCCCCGACATAGGTGGGTCTTGCCTGTTCCTAAAGATACATTCGTGTGTGCGCGTGTACAGTGTGTGCACGGCGTGTGCCCGTGTGTGTGAGTGCACGGCGTGTGCCCGTGTGTGTGAGTGCACGGCGTGTGCCCGTGTGCACGCGTGCACAACTCCCTGAGCATGGCTCCGCCCGTGCAATGCCCCCGGGAGGCAGCCCGCGGTGGCCTCTTGCTCGCTCCGCCGCGGCGCAGGGGTGCACCGTGTGCACATCCCTCGCTCTCTATCTGTTGTACTAATGGCCATTTGCAGAGTCTCCCCCACGGCCCCGCGTGACGCCACCCACGAGCACTCGGCCCGGATCCGTGGGGGCCCCATAAATCCACTTCTGTCGGGGGCCTGCGCCCACATGGAAAGGCCGGGCTGTGGGTTCGCGTGTGCCGGGCCTGGGCCGATGCCGCTGAGCGCTTCCCGAAGGGCACGACCACGGGGGCGAGGCCGCCTGTGTAGCTGCCGGTGGGCACACCGCGGGGCTGCGTCGGGATCCGCCACTTATTTACCTGGTGACCATATGGCATTCCGGCATTTTTTAAAGATCTGACTCACTTATCTGAGGGAGAGCGTGCACTCGTGCACGAGCGAGGGGCGGGGCGGGGGGAGAGGGAGAGAGAGTCTCAAGCGGACTCCGCGCTGCGCACAGAGCCCGATGCAGAGCCCGATCCCACGGCCCCGAGGTCACGACCCGAGCCGACACGGGAGTCAGACGCTCACCCGACTGAGCCGCGCAGGCGCCCCTACATTTCAGTGTCTTTATGGGGCCCTCCCATCTACCCTCTCTGTGAAGCGTCTGCTCTCAAATGTCCATTTTCTGTTATCGAAGCATTAATAGGAACTTGGGTCACCGGAAGCGAGTGCCTTGCTGGGTGAACGCCCCGCCAGGATCTGCCGCGAGCGGCCCTCCCGCTCCTGCAGTGGCATCTCTTGACGCACAGAAGCTCATGATTCTCCTAAAGCACAACTGATCGATTCTTTTCTCTCTTACGTCAGCGATCCTTGCGTGCTGAGAAACACGCTTAGCCTACTCCGGAGTCACGAACACGTTCCTCTACATTTATTTTAAAGGCTTTCTTGTTTGGGGCGCCTGGGGGGAGGGCGGGCGGTCAGGGAAGCGCCCAACTCTTGGTTTCAGCCCAGGTGGTGATCTCAGGGTCGTGGGATCGAGACCCACGGGGAGCTCCCTGTCGGGCGCTCAGCGCAGAGTCCACTTGGGACTCCCTCTCCTTAGCCCTCTGCCCCTCACCCCCTAAAACCAACCAATCAATCAATATTCAGAAAATATTTGAAACTAAAAACTTTCTTGTTTCTTGATCTGAATACCCAGTGGCCCTCCCCCCACTCCCGCATTGAAAAGCCCTTTTGTCACGCAGCAGGGTGTGTGCACGCCTGTGCACGGTGCCTGCGTGTGCGGGGACACAGGTACACTCCCCAGAGTCCAGGCCCCCCGCTGGCCCCGGGCCCGTACCCCAGCACCTCGCTGGCTGAGCCGCCGCAGGCCCGGGACGCGGCCCCCCGCGAGCCTATGCCCGCCCTCCAGCTTTATTCTTCATGGTCACCTTCATCCTTCTGACTCTCCATTTACAAATGGATTTTAGAATCAGTTTTCAATCTCTACGAAAGGAAAACTCCGCCGGGTTGGGTTGGACTGGGATTTCACGGGATGTGGGTAAGGCGAGGAGAGCGGCCATCTCTGGGACGTGGGGTCTCTTCTATTTCGTGGACACAAGCAACGTCTTTGAGGAAGCGCTTGTTCTGTGTGTTTTTTGTTTGTTTTGTTTTTTTTTTTTATGATAGTCACACAGAGAGAGAGAGGCAGAGACACAGGCAGAGGGAGAAGCAGGCTCCATGCACCGGGAGCCCGATGTGGGACTCGATCCCTGGTCTCCAGGATCGCGCCCCGGGCCAAAGGCAGGCGCCAAACCGCTGCGCCACCCAGGGATCCCTGTTCTGTTTTTAAACTTCGCTCCGCGCGGTTGTCAATGAACAGGTCTTGCGTGTGCTCAGTTATTACACTTGCTCCTGGACACTTGACGTGAGCCGCTGTTGTCGCTCTGTAAATGGTAGCTGCAGGGAGCCCATGGCCACCATCAGCTCCTCCTCCGGGGGGCCCCTCCTGGAGGCCAATCCCCCATCGCTGCCTTTGCGCGTGCCCCGGGAGGTCCCCCAGGAGAAGGGAAGGCCTTGTGCTGGAATCTCTGTCACCAAAGAGATTAAATGCCTTGCCAGGGTGGGGGGTCCTGAGAGTGGAGGGGGGGGACAGGGGAGGTCCCGGGGGAGGAGGGCAGGGCGTGGGCACAGACCCCGAGCAGCAGGGAGGGCAGCGAGGTGCCCCAGTTCCGGAGCCGGCTCTGTCACCGACTGTGCCTCAGTATCCTCGTCTGTATCAGGGCGTGAGACAGGTCCCCGGGGCCAGAACCTGCAGGGCCCCCCCCACGGGACAGGAGCTGGGGTGGTCTGAGGGCATCGTCACGCCGCGGTCACTTGCCGAGGCCCGAGCCCTATGCCGTTCCCACGCAAGCCAGGGACAGCGGCGCCAGCCCATCTCCGAACCTTCCCCCCGCGTGCCTTGCCGCGGCCAAGGTCACACCACACCTGGTCAGACGGAGCAGCCGCGCTAATCAGGTGGCCCCCACCCCCTCCTCATTCAGAACCTCGCTCGCCCCGCCGCCACCCCGGGGTCCGAGGGGACCGTGGCTGCACAGCCGTCAAGGGGGCAGGCGATCAAGGCCCTCGCCCTGTCCTCTCCTGCCTTGCTCCCCGCCTTCCCTGCGCCCTCCTCCCCCAGCCCCACATGGACCGACGACCCACCCCGCTGCCACTGTTGCCCCCGCCTGGACACCTGACCTGTGCCCCCTCTGGCTGTGGGACTCCTCATCCTTCGAGGCCACCTCGCCTGGCCCTGCTCTAGGAAGTCTGTGCGGCCCTGGGGACACAGGAGCAAGCATGGTCAACAGGCCCCCCACTGATTTCCGCATTAGGCTAGGTTTCCCGTCGTTCCCATAGTGACCTGCGCCAAGCGCTGACCATGCTGGGGGCTCGGGCGGGGGCACAGAGACGAGTGACCACTTGTGCCCCTTGCTCCCAAACATGCGGTCAGTGCCTGGCCGGGATCTCCCACCCATTATGAGGTGAGGACCGCATTGCCACCCGTAGGAAGCATGACCCTGCTCCTGGGGTGGGGGGACTCCCAGGGCCCCCGAGGCTCACAAACGCACAGAAACCTACACCGGGCAGCGCCCAGGCGCAGCACGTAGGGCCAGGTGTTACCCCGACACAGAGAAGCTCTTTCCTGAGGACGCGGAGCCTGGCAGGCACCCCCCGCCCGGCCTGCACCCTCCGTGCGGCGGCCCACGCCACGGAAAAGTGGCCAGTGGACATCCGGTAGCCGGACTTGGCTGCGGCCCGGGCCTCGGATGTGTTCTCCGAGCTGTGCCCGCTCCTGGCGGCGGCCGGCCTCCGCGGAGGATGCAGGAGGCTGGGCGCAGAGGCCGGAGGTGGGGGCCGGGCTCTCTGTCCCCTGCCACCTGCCTGGGCTCCGGGAAGTGCCTGCCTCACCGGGGAGGGCACCTGAGGCCAGCGTGCCCTGGGGAGGCGCGGGGGCCCACGGGCGGGTGGGTCGTGCCTCTCCTGAGCGCCCGAGCCTGGGTGAGCCTCGTCACCCATGGGGTGCAGGGGAAACCTGCCCTCTCGGGACAAGTGTGCAGCAAGTGTGCTAAGCCATCCCCGGGGCGCGCCCTGCGGGGCCACCGGCAGCCACACGGCGGCACTGTGGGAGCTTGGCTCGGAGGCTGCCACTGGGCTCACGGGACCGGGGCCACCCAAGGGTGCGGGCAGCCGCATCCTCCTCCGGGAAGGCGCCAGGCTCCCCTAGGCCCATCCTCTGCGCCCGTCGCAGGCTGCCTCCCCAGCCCCGGCCCGGGCCGCCCGCACGTCCTGGGGAGCCACTCGGGGGTCGCCGCAAGGGCAGGTTGGGAGGTCGCCCCGCGTGAGTGGGCTCGGACCTGCAAGGCCACGGCCAGGGCTCCGGGATGCCCCCTCCCATCTCACACAGGAGGCCCCGGGTCAGGCGGCGCCCAGGTCGTGGCAGGACGGGACCCAGCCCGAGCCTCCTCCGGGGACCTCGGCCTGCGCGGGCCACGCTCCGCTCCCCCCGGGGTGCGCCCCGACCCCCACCCGCCGCTCCTGGCCCCGCCCTCCCGGCTCGGCCCCGCCCTTCCAGGCCCCGCCCTCCCGGCTCAGCCCCGCCCTTACAGGCACGGCCCCTCCAGACTCGGCCCCGCCCTTACAGGCCCTGCCCCATCCAGGCCCCGCCCCTCCAGCTCGGCCCCGCCCCCAGGCCCCTCCCCTCCCAGCTCGGCCCCACCCTTCCAGGCCCCGTCCCTCCATGCTCGGCCCCGCCCCATCCAGGACCCGCCCCTCTCGGCTCAGCCCCGCCCTTCCTCTCGGCTCGGCCCTCCCCTCCAGGCCCCGCCCCCGCCCCAGGCCTCTCCCCCTCCCCTCCTGGCCCCTGCCCCTCCCCTCCGGGGCCTGCCCTTCCTGCCCCTCCCTCCCCACCCTGCCCCTGCCCCTGCCCCAGGCCTCTACCCCTCCCCCTCCCCTCCAGGGCCTGCCCCTCCTGCCCCTCCCTCCCCACCCTGCCCCTGCCCCTGCCCCTGCCCCAGGCCTCTCCCCCCTCCCCCTCCCCTCCAGGGCCTGCCCCTCCTGCCCCTCCCTCCCCACCCTGCCCCTGCCCCAGGCCTCTACCCCTCCCCCTCCCCCTCCCAGGCCTGCCCCTCCTGCCCCTCCCTCCCCACCCTGCCCCTGCCCCTGCCCCAGGCCTCTCCCCCCACCCCCTCCCCTCCAGGGCCTGCCCCTCCTGCCCCTCCCTCCCCACCCTGCCCCTGCCCCGGCCCCAGGCCTCTCCCCCTTCCCCCTCCCCCCCCCCGCCCCGCTCTCCCGCCCCTGCCCTCGACACCGCCCCCGTCCCCCCCCCCCCGTGCCCCCCGCCGCGCCCCCTCGGCTCCAGCTGGGCCGCGGCCCATCGCAGGCACCCGGCCACAGCTGGAACCCATTACGCCCCCAGCGCCTCCTGGGACGTCTCGGCTAATAAGTGACCCTCTGTAAATGTTAGGAATGAGTCAAGTTTGTGCCGCTGCTGCCCTTCCCGTTAGCGGGTGGCGCCTGGGATGCCCGAGGGAGCGCGGAGGGTGGGGGAGCGCGCAGGGCAGAGTCGGTGCGGCCTGGCGGAGGGAGTTCATTGCCCCTGCGCGGGCCTGGCCTACCCGGCTGAGCCTCAGTTTCCCCGCGTGAGAATCTGGGCGGAGGTGAACGATGGCCCCCGCCCCCCTCGGGCTGCCCTTCCTGGGGGGGGGACAGGAGAGGAGGCTGATGGTCTTGGCATCCGGCGCTGGGCCCAGAGACCGTAGGGGGCACGGGCTCCCCTCCCCCCAGGCAGGCTGCTCCCACCCCAGGAACCCCGGGGGTCACCTGGGGGTGCTGGGTGAAGGCGTCTCCCGGAGGCCCCCTGCTTTCTCAAATTCAAACATCCGGGTGCCGAGTCGGGCTCCAGCTTGTGAAGGGCCGGGTCCCGGGTGGGCCAGGACCAGGTTCCACGCCAGGGGGCAGCGGAAGTCAGCCCAGGTGTCTGCTCAGCGGCGGTCCAGCAACTGGGCTGCTGCGCGGATCCGAGTGTGGCCTTACCGGGTGCCATGCGGAGCCCAGGTCTCGGGGTGACCCCCGGCTGTCTGGTCCGCGTGGAGCATGCCTTGTGTCCAGGGAGAATTGGGGACAGCGTGTGCATGGGGACGCCAGGCTGGGGTCTCAGGAAGAGGGAACAGAGAGGGCGCGGGCAGTGGGGCGGGCACAGCAGGGGCACACCCAGGAGGCCAGTGCCCCCCCAGTCAGGGCCGAGGGCCACAGCCGGGTGCAGGGCCCTCCAGGGAGAGCTGAGAGGAAATCATAGGAGGGAGGGGACAGGAGGCTGCTCAGAGGTCACTCGGCAGGATCCTGGGCTGGGAGGGGGCTTGGGGGGCCCCGGGGGTTAGACCCTCCACAGGCAGGGGAGTCTGACCACACGGTGATGGATTTCAGAAGTTTGGGATTGGGGGACCGTGATAGGAGAACCCAGTTTGCTGCCCCGGAGAGGCTGTCTCCAGGACCCCAGGGAAGCATCGGTGACCCTGTCACCCCAAGCCCTCTCATGCCGGGACTGAAGCGCCGCTCCACAGGCCCCGAGGGTCCTTGCCCTAGCCGGCACCATGATTACACCCAGCAGAAGGGCCCTGCCCCGGCCGGGGTCTGGAGGGCGCCCCCGCCCTCCCCCAGCTCTGCCCGCCTCATAGTGCACCAAATCCCCAGGGCCTCCCAACACTGGTGTCCAGGTATTGGGCCCCTGGGGCTTCCCAGCTGCTGCCAGGCCCTGCTCTGGTCAGGCCAGGAGGGAGGGCTGCCCTCGCCATCCTCCCACAGCCCCTCCCTTGGGTCCTGCCCCGTCCTCTCATGCCCTCGCTGCTGGGCAGGATGAAGGCCCCAGCACCCGGCCACGTCCTAAAGGGAGGTGCCTGGGTGGGCCTAGGTCCCTGCAAGTTGCCAATCCCCCCCAGCAGCCCCACTGGGAGAGTGGGGAGACTGTGCTGCGGGTGGTCCCATGGAGCAGAGCAAGGGCACCGCCCCCCGGTGCCCCTGGACAGGCCCCCCGTGAACACCCAGCCTGGTCCCCGCAGAGCTCCCAGGGTGCCATCCCACTCTACAGGCACAGACCCCAGGCAGCGTTGGGCGACAGCCTCAGGCAGTCCTCTCGGGGCCCTTGGCTGCGGCAGGGGGGCATGCAGCCCCCACTAAGGCCATGAGCTCGGGGCGGCTGCCACCCCCCAGTGTCTCTGGATGGCTGTTTTGCAGAGGCTGGAGGACACCGTCTTGAGCCCCATGGCCAGCAGGGAGGATCGGGCGCTGACCGTTCGCGGGGAAGGCTGCCGGGCTTTGCCCACTCCTGTGCCCGCCCGAATCCGCGAGATCGTGGCCGGCAGCCTGGGGGATGAGCCACACCAAGGTGACGGGAGGTGGTGGGTGACAACGGGGGGGGCACCAGGGGAACCGCAGAGCCAGCAGCTGCAGTCGAGCCTCAGTGCTCTCCACCCCCCACCCCTCGGGCGGCTGGCCCCTCTTGGCCTGTCATCTTGCAGGGTGACGGGCCCAGAACCATGCCCTCCCACGGGGTCCCCCCGGGGGTCACACATCCATCCCTGCAGCATGCATCCCACTAGGCCGCAAGGACTGTCCAGTGCGGCATTCGTGTGTGGGACACATTGGTGACCGTCTCGACTTCCTCCGTATTTATTTTCCGTTAGAGAAGTGAAAATCCCGAAGGGTGATGCTGAGGAAGTGCAGACCCTGAGCAGGGCCCCCCCACCCCGCCCGGGCCTCTGACCGTAGCACGCAGGCCCCCTGGGTCCCTGCAGCAGGGCCACCCAGCCGCTCGGCCACGAGGCCCCCGCTGTGCCCGTGACTGCCTGTGCGGGTCCCGAGCCCCCCATGCAGAGTAAGGGTCTGTGGCCTCCCGAGGGACCTGTCGCTCTCCGGGCACGTGTGAAGGGGGAGGAAGCCCGCCGTGCGCTCAGGAAAGCAGCTCAGATGAGACCGGTTACCCTGCATCAGCAGGTCTCGGTGCCTAGTGGGGGCCGGGGGTCCCCGTGTCCAGGCCTCTCGCCCGCCCTCCACTCTAACTGCTTTGGGGCCGTGTTGGGGTCAAGGAAGCGGGCGAGACATAGGGCCCCGGGAGCGGGAGGGAGGCCTGGAGCATGAGGTCCAGGACCCCACGCCAGGGTCTCCCGGGGTCGGGTCGGGGACGCTCCTGGAATGTCAGGGCCGACCGCGGAGGGAGCCCAGGGACCTGCCCGCGTCCCGCCGTGGGGACAGGGCGCGGTGGCCCAGGCGGTGCCGGCTGACCCTGGAGCTCCCCCTGCAGGGGTGCGGGAGCCGCTGGCCGCCTCGGCCCGCCTGCAGGAGGAGAACGAGCTCCTGCAGCAGGAGCTGTGCCGGCTGGAGAGCCTGCTGGTCCAGGCGGGCGCTGAGCAGGACGAGCTGGCCAGCAGGTGCCACACGGCCAGCGAGCGGGTAAGCGGGGCCTGGGGCGCGGGGCCAGCAGAAGGGCGGCCCGGGAGGCCAGGGGTCAGACGGTGGCACTGAGGACGCAGCCTGACGGTCCCCTCAGCCTCCGCGCAGCTGGATCCCCAGCCAGGCTGGAGGCGGGAGGGTGCGCGCAGGACGGGTGTCCAGGCCCCCCCACGACGAAGGCCCCGGTCTCCCAGCCCAGCCGGAGCACTGCCTTGTGTCCTGGCTGCTGGGGGCTTGCTGGGGCAGCCTGGTGAGCCCCGAGCCCTCGGCCCCAGGGCCCCACCTTTGGGGTCCGCCCAGGAACCAGCCCCCGCCCGCGGCTCCGCCCCTGCCTCCACCTTTCCCTGACAGCCAGGCCGACTGTGACTTCAGAGGATAGCTGTGACCCCGGGTCCTCGATCCTTGGTCCCCTGGGCACCCCCAACGCCTCCAGCCACAGCAAGAGGCCATGTGGCTACGAAGTGTGGAGGCGGGGAGGGGGGGTCCTATTGTACAGGTGGGGACACCGAGGCAGAAAGGCGAGGACACCTGCCAGGCCAGAGCCCGGGATGCCCGGCCCCAGGGTGGGGTGCCCGCGCCCCTGTGGCATCTGGCCCACCCGGCCCCGCTGTCCCCAGAGCCCTCCGTGCCCTCCGAGGCAGAGCCGCTGCCCCCACGCCAGGTGAGGACACGCTGGCCCGGGGCTGAGCTGCCCGCGCTGCGGCCGAGGCAGAACCAGGGGCGGCCCTCACTGCAGCACGACCATGACCAGCGCCCAGGCCCGAGGGCCCCAGCCTGCCCCCTGTTCCCCGGGATGTCCGGGGCTTCCGGGAGAGGTGGCACCAGCGGCCCCCAGACCTAACGCCCGCTCTCCCTACTGCCCCCACCCCGGCGAGCCCCTCGGGGCAGCACCACGACGAGGGGCGTCCTCGGCCCCATCAGGGCCAGGAAACCAGGGGGCACCCGCCCGCCGGCCCGGGCTGTCTGCGGCCTCGGCCCAGTCGTGGGGGTGGGGGGCCTTCCTAGCACAGGGTGGGGAGATGTTGGGAACCCGTGGCAGGAATAGAAGCCAGAAATCCTGCGGACACATTAGTAAGCCTCATGAGTCAGAACTGAACTCCCAGACCCCGCAGCCGGCGCACATGTCCGGCTCCCGAGGGCGTCCCCCACCCCCCACCCCGTGCAGGCGCCAGAAGGGGCAGGCCTCCCCCATGACCCCCGAGCAGATGGCCAGGAGGGGGTGACCTCTGTGCGGCACATCTACTGGGTGGGCACCCCGGCCCCTGCCCTGGCCTCGGCTGTCTCCATCCTGGGGCCTGCAGGCTCTCCTGACCTCCCGCGTCCCAGCCCCCCCCCACCGGCTGGGCCTGAGTTCCCCTCCCCTGACACCCCCAGGTGCTCCGGGGTGCAGGTCTGGGGGCCGCCCAGCACCTCCCGTCCTCCTGGAGCTCCAGGCTGCCCACCTCAGGCTCCAGCAGGGAGGCGGGGAGGAAGGACACGGACCTGAGGCAGGCCTGGTGCAGCTCCATGACCCCCCCCGCCCCCAGGCCTGCCCCAGGCAGAAGCCCACCTGCCAGAGGGGAACTGGGGGGCAGCGGGAGGGGTGGGACCCCACGCTCACTCTCACTCGGCAGGCGACCCCAGGCTTGCTCTGTCCTGGTGAGCCGGCCCGGGGGCCCCTCCGCAGCCAGCCAGGCACGGGGCGCGGGGTCAGCGCGTGAAGGCCTGGCCGCTGCCCCTTGGTGTGCGGGGGCCCTGGCGGGCCCTGGGACGGCTGGCTAGTGGGCCACCGTCCTCTCCAGCTGCAGGCCCGTCTGGAGACCACCGAGGCCCGGTTGCGGAGGTCGGAGCTGGAGCACAGCGTGGACCTGGAGGAGGCCCTGGGCCGTTTGGAGGCCGCCGAGCAGAGGTGAGTGTGGGCGGCTGCAGGGAGCTCGGCCGCACCCCCAGAGGCAGCAGACACCCTCGGCCCGGGGCCTCCTCCCAACTTGCCTGTAAGGCAGCATTGGCCGCGGGCTTCAGAGGCAGGGGAAGAAGTGGGCAGAGCAGGGCGGGGACGGGGACCACCTGGGGGCTGAGGGGGCTGCAGGTCCCACGGGTCTGAGGGTCTCACCCGCCCTGCCCTCCACCCCGACGCCCGCAGGTGCCCTGGCCAGTGCTGCAGGCGGGTCCCCTGGGCCGACCGTGGGCCTCGGGAGCGCAGCCAGTCCTGGGGTGCCCGCGGGTGCTGCCCTCGACCCCACTCTCGTTCATGCGCTGGCCCCGCCTCCCTCTGGCTTCAGGCCGCCCTGATTTCCCGGTCAGGGGCTCGTCTGCCACCACTGGCAGGCGTGGGTCACCCCCGAGCACGCCCAGTGGTGCCCCCGGCTCTCCAGAAGGAGCCCCTGGGCCCCGGGCTCCGGGCGCCGTCCCTGGGAGGGAAGGGCACGCGTCCACACTGCAGGGAGGGCAGCCAGGAGGCGCTGAGCCCCTGAGCTCGGCTGCGTCCAGACCTGGGGGAGGTTGGCGCGTTGGCGGAACACTTCCCGTTACTTGCTTCATCCTCGGGGACTCCGGAAAAGAAGCAAAGTGCTGACGAGCATTCGGAAAACCGGTTTTCACAAGCAGCTGGCGGGGGGGGCGTAACCCAAGAGGAGGCGATGCCCAGGTTGCAAAGAGGAGCGGAGCAGGTCCCTGCTGGGAGGGAGGCTCCCTGGGGAGAGGACCCCGTGGTCGCAGGGGGCTGCCCCCCTCGAGGGCACACCCGACCCCCTCCGCCGCGGGCACTCCCTCCGCAGGCGCCCCTCCGCTCCCAGCGCTGCCCGTCCGGTGTCTCGGGCCCCCCACCTGGCGCCTGGGCCGGAGGCGGCCACGCGTGAGGGGCACGGCCAGGAAGGCTCAGCATGGGAGGAGCAGGGCGCCGGGGCTCCTCGGGTACCGGGCCCAGTTTGGGGAGCCGTGGGGGGCCCGTTGCAGGCGGTCAGTGCCCCCTGGGGCCGGCTTGGGGCCCTCACGGCTGAGCGGGGCCGGCCGTGCCGGGGAAGCTCTGGGCTCGGCTCCGAGGGGCGTGCAGGGAGAAGCCCCCAGGGCCAGGCCGCGGTGCTGTGTGCCGCCCAGGAGCTCTGGACTGGCGCAGGTGAACAACCTGCTGCGGCAACAGCTGGAGCACCTGAGGAGGGCGAACGACGGGCTGGCCGAGGAGCTGGCCAGGACGGCGGACGGCGTGCTCCACCTCCGGAGCCAGCTGGAGCTGAGGGAGGCGCAGCGCGGGACCGGGACACAGGTGCTTGCCCGCGGTGGCCCGCGGCGGCTCGTGGCGGGGGGTCGGCCGGGGGGCCGGGAGGCTCACGTGGCTCTGCGGCGGTCCCTCCTGGGGGGCAAGGCCACTGACCTCCTGCCACGCCGGGCTCCCCATCCGGCTGGGCCCAGCAGCCTGTGGGGGTGGGGGGACGCTGGGGAGGAAGACCCTCCCTCGAGGAACGGCAGGCGGGACCAGACCCGCGCAGGGCCCCGCGCCTGAGACAGCAGCAGGCCCCTGGAGGCCGGGCCCTGGTCAGACCCCGGGGGCACACGTTGCTCCAGGCACCACCCCCCAACCCCCACCCCCCGCCTACCCTGGTCACAGTGTTCTGATCCCAGGCCTCGGCCTCGGGGGGCGGTCACTGGGGACAAGACCTGCTGTGAGCTGGGGGGATGCTTGAGACGGACGACGCCCCGCTCCCTGCCCCGCCTGCTCCGGGTCGTCCCGCCGCCACGCTCGTGGACACTGAGTGAGCGAGGCGTCCCCGTCTGCTCCGACCCGTCCTTGGATGGGGGCCGCTGGAAGGGCGGTGACCTGGGGCAGGGCCGGCCTCCGCGGCTGCAGCGGCCTCACGGGGCAGGTGTCGCTGCCTCCCCACGGTCCTCTGCAGGTGCCCCTGGTGGGATGCGCCCCGACACCGCCTGAGAACGGCGCTTCGGGTGAAAGCAGGGCCGCGGTGGGCCAGCGTGCCCGGGGCCTCGGGCGGACCCTGCCGCACACCCCCCAGGCGAGCCTGCCTCACGGGGCCGCCGCGGCACCTCCCACCCAGCGTCAGGCCAGCCGGCTGGGCCCCCACGGGCCTGGGGCGTGGCTGCTGCGTGGGAGGCCTTGACCCCTGTGCCAGGCCCCTGAGGCTGCGGTTCGTCGGAGGCTGGGGGCCTCCTGCTGCGTGGCCTCCAGACGGAGGGTCCTGCCCTTGCCCGCGTCCGGGAAGTGCAGGATCAAGGCGCGCGACCACTCAGCGCGGGGCCGGGCGGCTTCCCGGCCCGGACAGCATCTTGGAACTACAGCCGCAGGCGGCGGATGGGCGAGGGGGCTCGCAGGCACCCTCATAAGGGCGCTAAGCCCATCACCAGGGTGGAGCCTGACACCCACCTCCACACCCCGTCCAGTAGGGATTAGGTTTCACCGTTGAACCGGAGGGGCCACCTCGGAGGCTCCCCCTTACACTGCCCTGCAGGCAGGGCTGCGCATGTGCGCGTGCCCGTGTGGGCGCGTGTGTCCGCTCACTCACCTGGACGCCCCCCCCTTGGACGGCAGCTCCGAGATCTCGCCCGCGAGTGTGGGCAGACGCGCCGTCTGGACGGGCCCCAGGCTTTCCTCGCTGTCCCCTGACCCCCGCGGTCCAGGAGACCGTGTTCCCGTTGCTCGGTTTGGCAACAGGCTACCTGCGTCCCTCTGGAGTCCCTGACCCTGGCGTCCGGGCCAGAGCGCCCCCGGGTGCATCAGCCTCGCGTCCCGGAAGTCGTCTGGTCTGGAATCTTCCGCAGTTCATGGCGGTTGTCGGGCAGGGCGGCCCGGGCGTGTGCAGCTCTAATCCCTGCTCCTGGAGGATCACCCTGCGGGCCGGGGCACAGTGAGGCCCAACAGGGGCGTCGCCTACACACGTGGGCTCAGTGCGGGGACCTCAGATGCGGGTCAGGACCCAGGGGCTCGGCAAAGGCTTCGTGGAGGAGGAGGAGCGGGGGGACGTGAGGGCCTCTGTCGGCAGCGGCATCAGAGAGGCGCCCGGAGCGGGCCGGGAGGGCAGAGGGGTAGGTACGGGGCCGCCCGGGGCCCGCGCTGAGCCCCTGGGGGGCACGGAGGTCCACACTCAGGACGCAGCCAGTGCAGGGCCCGGGACGGGGGTGGAGACCCGGGAGCCCTGGGCTTCAGCCCGGTCCCTGTACGGCGGCCAGCGCCGGCCCTTCCCGCCCACCCTCCACGCCCCGCCTGTCGCCTGTCTCGGAGGGCGGCTTCCCCACCTTCCCCCCCATGTGCTCCAAGGGCTACAGGCCGGGTCCCTGGCACCTGTGAGGACCCGGCCCCACCGGACACGCCAGGGGCTCCCCCAGAGGAAGAGCTGGGAGGGCACAAAGCCTGTCCCCTGTGCTGCAGGGGGGGTGGGGGGGAGGTTGCAGAGGGACACACAGGTGCCTCCCGCCCCATCAGGGAGACCAGGCGGGTGAGTCCTGGTTCCGGGCAGGAGCTGGATGTGGTCTCCTCCCCAGGTCGTCGGGGGCGGGGGGCGCTGCCCCCAGGAAGCAGGGCCCCCGGGGTGCTGGGTCTGCTCCGTGCCGGGGGCGCCCACCTGGAAGAGGGCGTTGAGGGGCGGGTGCGCGGGGTCCCAGGGCTCCAGCCGCCTCCCTGGCCCGAGGCGGACTCCGTCCTCTTGCTTTCAGAGCCAGCGCCCCCGCGACGGGGGGGCCCAGGACCTCCTCCTTCTGTGGAGACGGGCGACCGCGCTCCGGGCACAGCTGGCTGAGCTGCGCGCAGCCACGGACAGGTGACGGCCGGGGACCCGCGTGGGGGAGACGGGCGCCTGGACGGGGCCTGAGGCTCAGCGGCGGTGCTGACTCGCCTCCCAGGGGGCTCGCGGACATGCGAGCGGAGGCGGCCAGGACGGCCCGGCGCCTGCGCACAGCCTGCCTCAGCCTCGACTGCCACCTGCGGCTGTCGGCCCGCGGCGAGCCCGGCGCCCCGGAGCAGCAGGCCCTGCAGGCTTCGCGGCTGGAGCGGCAGCTCCGGGACAAGGTGCAGGAGATGCTGCAGCTGCAGGGCCGCTGGGACGCCGAGAAGGTGGCGCTCCGGGCCAGGTGGGTGCGGCGGCAGGCGGGCGGGCGGGTGGGAGAGGGGACGAGGGCCGGGCACCTCCCAGCCCCTCCCAGCTCCCAGCGGCCGCAGTTCCCAGACACGCACGGGCCCCGCGTGCAGCTGTACCAGGGGCCTCCGTGCTGCCGCTCACCCTCGTGACGGTGCCCCTGGCAGCACAGGACGGTCCCCAACGTGGCAGGCTCACGCGGCCCTAACCAACCCCGGAGGCCAGGCGAGGGCGCCCAAACCTTGAGGGTCTCAGCTGCGGCGGGCGGGCGTGGCCCCGTGTCCTCGTGGCTGGTCCCAGACGCGGAATTCCCGGCCTCGCAGCAGGTCCCTGCCGCGGTGGGCGCCCGCTTGGAGGCTGACCACAGAGGCTGAGGCGGGGGGGGGGGGCCCAGGTCTACGCCGAGTGCAGCTGAGACCGGGGCCCTCCTGGGGTCTGCGAGCCTCGGAGCGAGCGCGCGAGGTCCGGGACACAGAGGACGTGTCCGCGGCTCAGACATGAGGGCAGCTTCCGCGGGCAGCGGGGAGACAGCTCCCCAGGGAAGGCCGAGCCTGCTGCCCCCGGGCGCAGCTCCACAGGGGCGAGGATCGCCTGGCCACAGGCACCTGCCAGGCTGCGGGGAAGAAGGACGCCCTGCCCTCGGGGGCCACTTGAGTCAAACAGACCCCAACACGGCTCCAAAGGGGCGAGGCAGGCGGGCCCAGGGGTGCCAGATGCAGGGGCAGCTCCCCAGGCCTGCGCAGAAGATGCTGGAACCACAGCACGGGAGACCCAGATGCCCCGGGGTCTTTGAGAAGGAGAGGGACGATGACAGCACTTGGTGGCGGAGGTGGTCCCGGCGGAGGACGCAGCTGGGCTGAGGGCCCGGAGGACGGGCGCGGAGCCTCCGGGAGCCGCAGGCCGTGACGCTGGAGAGCGGGGTTGGGGTCGGGGTGGGCCCGGGGTGCTGGACTCTGCTCCCGAGGCTGTGGGGGCCACCGAAGGTCCTAGAGCGGGAGAGAGGCCTCTGGTCGGACGGGGCTGAGGTCCACTGAGCCACGCCGCGGGGGGCCGGGAGCGGGCAGCGCTGGGCCGTTCTCTGCTCTGACGCCCCCGACCGCCCTCCAGGCTCTCGGAGCAGACGCTGCTGGTGGAGAAGCTCACGGAGCAGAGCTCCAAGCACGAGAGCACCATCGCTTCCCTCAGGGCGGACCTCCAGGCCCGGGTGCGGGGCGGGCACGGGGCGGGCGCGGGGTGGGGGACGGCCGCCTGCCCTGCCCGCTGAGGCCCTGCTGTGGCCACAGGAGTCCCCGCGCGGTGGAGGCCAGAGGGCGGCGGGCGTCCTGGAGGAGGAAGCTGCGTCCCTGCGGCGCGTGTTGAGGAGAATCGCAGAGGTGCGGCCGCCTGGGGCTTCCTGTGGGACCGCAGGCACCTGCCAGGATCTGAAAGGTCCCGAGCTCGCGCCCCTCCGCCCCGTCCTCTCTGCACCCCGTAGGTGGCCCAGGCAGACGCGGGGGGCCCGCTGCTGGCGACGAGCCGCAGCGCCGAGGCCGAGGAGGCCGGGGGCCAGCTGAGGAGGCCCGCGTGCTCTGCGTCCCCACCCCCGGCGCGCTCCCCGGACACCCCGGAGGCGGCCCTGCAGGCCGTGCAGGTGGCCATCGAGCGGCGGCGGCGGCGGGAGCAGGTGGGCGGCCACGGCCCAGGGCGTAGGCAAAGCCTGGGGGGGGGTGGTCCCGGGGCTGCTGGAGGAGTGGGGTCCCGTCCAAGGCCCGCCCAGGCCGGAGGGGCTCACACCGCCCACTGCCGCTCCCCGCCCCCCCGCCAGGAGCTGCACCTGCAGCTGGAGTCGGCGGAGGCGCAGGCCGCCCGGCTCCGGGAGCAGCTGTCCGGGGACCGGCAGGAGCTGCAGGCAGCGCAGAGGCTCCTGCACGAGCTGCAGGCGCAGGCCCGGGAGGCACAGCAGCGCCCGGCGTGCGGCGAGCTCCTGCGGAGGTGACCGGGGCTGCGCAGGGCAGAGGACAGAGCGGCTCCTGGCGAGGCCACGTGCCCCAGCCCCCTGCCCCCAGCCCCGCGGCGACCCGCCTGCTCCGAGGCCCTGCCCCCCTGGGCACACCTGGGTGCCGCCCCCCAGGACGCAGCCCCCCAAAGCCCCGGCTGAGCATGCACCCTGCCCCCGGCCCCCGACTCCCGGGTCTCCTCCCAGGGCTCCCGCCATCCTTCAGGAACGGCCCCGGAGTCCCCCAAACGCCCTTCTGGCCACTTCCACGGGGCGGCCTGAGAGCCCTCCTGGGGGCTGCGGATCCCGTGGCCTGAGGTGCAGGCGGCCGGGAGGCTTTCTGGATGCTTCCTGCACAGGCTGCTGCCCCGGGGCCGGTGGCGGTGGGACCTGAAGCTCCCTGCTCCGTGCTGAGCAAGGGGCCAGGAGACGGACAGGAGGCCACTTCCCCTCATCACCCCGGGGGTGGGGACTGCCGCTCCCTTGGGGAGGCTCCTTCTCGGGGTGACCTGACGGCGCCCTCGGTGCGGAGACAGGAAGTCTGGGGAGACATGAGCCCCACGCCCGCCCCGAGGGGCACCCAGGGAGGGACGGGAGCAGGGCTCAGGCTGGCGTGGGGCACGGCTGGGGCTCCTACCAGGGGCAGCCCTGGCTTGGGGGGCCGGTGTGGCTGCTGGGGGGCAAGCCGCGGCTTGGGGACAGGTGGGCAGGCCTGGGTGGGCCCCTCATGGTGGGGGGGTGGGGGACCCAGGGGCGTTTGGGAGATGGAGGCTCCAGGACTCGGTGCTTCAGGGGCCGGGGCCTGAGGGCACAGCCAAGGCTCGGATTCCCGGCTGGGGCGGCCGGTGGCTCTTGAGGGCCCGCACCCCCCGTCGGGACCAGGCCGGCAGGACGAGCTGACGCGGAGGTGGGGACGGTGCCGGGGAGGAAGGTCCACCCGTCAGGCTGTCCTGCGGGGACCATGCGCTTGGCCGGCGGGGGGCAGAGGGCCAAGCAGAGGGCACAGCGGGGAGCCCGACCTTGAGTGCCCTGGGGGCTCGTGGAAGCTTCGAGAGGGGCACGCCTGGGCCTGGAGGCTGGGTGCCTCCCCAGGTGCATCCCCACGGCCGCCTGGCCCGCGCCCTCCCTGCCCTCCGGCGCTCCTGCCCAGGCCGAGGTGCAAGCCCACCCGGGGCGTGACCCGGTCCCGGGGCTCCCCAACCTCTGCCTCCCCTGCTCCCAGAGAGAAAAGGGCCCTGGAGCCGGCGGTGGAGGAGATGAGGGGGAAGGCGGAGAACGCGGAGCTGCAGGGGGGCGGCCTGCTGTGGGCACAGCAGAGGGGAGGGCTGCAGGCTGGGCGCGGGGCCGGGCGCCGGGCTCCTGAGGGCAGCACAGGGTCCCCGTCACCCTGCCCACGGCCTGCCCCCCACAGGGGCAGAGGTGCACACGGGAACCTCCCTGCAGGGCCACCCACACTCCCCCGGGCTCCCCAGGCTCCCCGCCCTGCGGCCCCAGGCTTGCCCCCAGCTGACCGCACCCCCTCCCCTCTGGTTTCTGCACCTCAGTCGGGGGCGCCTGGAGCAGCTGGAGGAGAAGGTCTCGGGGCTCAGGAGGGAGCTGGTGTCCGCCCAGGAGGCGCTGCACTCGGCCCAGCTGCAGAGGGACGTTGTGGAGAGCGAGAGGGAGGGTCTGCGCAGGGCCCTGGCCCGGGTACCGCTCCGCGCCCGCTGTGCCCCCATCCCCGCTCGCCTGTCCCCTCGCCCCCGGGGCCCTCGGTCCATCCAGATTTCCCAGCACCACCGGCGGCCTCCTGGGGCCCCAGCTGCGGGCCCTGGCCCGTCCCCCACCGTCCTGGCCGCTGTCTTCTCCGCTGCTTCTCCGCGCCGGCTCCCTTGGTACCCTGTCACCCCTCCGGGCCGCAGCCTGGGTGCCCAGGGGGCCGCTGTCCCCCTCAGAGGCCTCCCCACCCTGCCCCACCCAGAGCATCAGCTTGCACACCTCCACGACGTGGGGCTCACTCCGTCCCTGACACCCACAGCTCTGGCCTGCAGGAATCCGAGTGTCCCCCGGCGTCCCCCTGGCGTCCCCCGTGGGGGTGACGGCCGCCCTGCCTCCCCGCCCTAGGCCGAGTCCAGCAACACTGACCTAGAACTGCTTGTGACCCGGCTGAAGTCAGAGGGAGTGGAGCAGAGGGACTCCCTGGCCAGGATGGCTGCGCTGACGGAGGGGCTGGCTGAGGACAGAAGCCACCTGAGCCACCTGGTCCTGCAGGTGAGGCTGGGCCCCTCACTTCCCACCTCTCCATCTCCTCCAATCCTGCACAGAGAGCAGGTGTGGCAGGAGGAGGCCGGGCAGGGGGTCAGCCCGTGGGACGGGGCGGGGTGGGGGGGAGCCTAGGTGCAGACCCCCCCCCCCCCGCAGCTGGAGCAGGAGCGGGACCAGCTGCGGGAGCAGCAGAAGGCGCTGGAGCAGGAGCAGGCGGGCGCACGGGAGCGGCTGGCGCAGGTGGAGCAGCAGCTGGAGCAGGTGCAGGTGCAGGCGGCCCGCCTCCAGCAGCAGGTGGGCCAGGTGAGGCGTGGAGGGCTCCCGCCGCCCCCGCGGGGCTGCCCTGCCTCTGTGGGTGCCAAAGGTCGCGGGTCACCGTTGGAGGTCCCGCCGGCGAGGGGAGTGTAGAACTGGGGGGATAGGCAGGGTCCCTGGGGCTGTCCCCAGGGCCCCCAGGGGACCCAAGGCCCCGCCCGTGACTGGCACACACTCGGGGTCGGGTCGGGGGCTTCACTGCCTCCTCCGCCGCCAGGCTCCCTCCTCCCTGGGTGCTCCATCTGGGGGGGGGCGGCCTTCCAGGGGGGCCGACTCCGCGGGGCAGGGCACTGCAGCGCTTGGCTTGCCTCCATTCGCGGCCCACGGGCCCTGTGCGCCTTGGGACTCGGCGCAGCGCCCTCCACTCTCCCGCGCGGGCCCATCCGTCCCGGCCGTCGTCTTCCTCCTCCTTTCACCGCAAGGTGATTTGCACTCGGGAGCCAGCGTGCGTTTCCGTGAGCAGTGACCATCGCGTGCACGGCGTGGCCAGCGCGGAGGAGACGGGGCCGGTCCCCTGGGCCACGCGCTGGCTCCCCTGGGGAGCCTCGGCGTCATGGGTGGGAGTCGGGGGCGGGCAGGCGGCAAGAGCTGGGGCTTGACGGCCTAGTAACGGTCCATGTACGGATAAACCACACTGGCTCCCCCATGTCCCTGCTGCTGCACGTTTGGGTTCCGTCCACTTTGGGTTGTGATGCGCCAGACGGCCACAGACATCGGTGACCAAGACGCACGAATGTACAGGGAGGCGGCCGTTTGGGAGGTGGCCGTGGAGCTTAGTAAGAAACCGCCCAGCGATTTCCCGGAGAGATTGCGCTATTTATCCCACCGGCAGCCGCCCGGACGGGGCCTTGTCAACACTCGACATCATCCACTTTTGCTTTTTAGCTGCTCTGTGTGTGCGGTCACATCCCGCTGTGGTTTTCCTCCGCCTTTCCTGGATCACAAACGATCTTGAGCGCACCGGAAGTTTGTGGACCTTCTTTTCTTGTCAAGTGTCTGTTCAAATCTTTTGCCCATTTTTATTGTTTTTTTTTATTATTATTATTTTGTGGTTTGGTCGTGGGCGTGTAGGAATTCTGCACACACCTTGACCACAAGTGCTTCGTCAGACGGATGTACTTGGAATGGTTTACTCACGTTGGTGACTTGCCTCTACGTTCTCTGCTTTTTTAAAGATTATTTATTTATTTATTCATGAGAGACACAGAGAGAGGCAGAGACGCAGGCAGAGGGAGAAGCAGGCTCCACGCAGGGAGCCCGATGTGGGACTCGATCCCGGGTCTCCAGGGTCACGGCCTGGGCCGCAGGCATATGCTCCACCGCTGAGCCACCCGGGCGTCCCTCCCCGCACTGATTTTTAAAGACTGTCCTTTCTCCCTTGAGTCAACTCAGCGACTCGTTGAAAGTGAATTGAACATATACGCGCAGAGATGAGCACGGGTCAGACTGTCAGTCTGTGCAAATCCATCTGCTCATTCTTTCCCCCAAACCACACTGTCTTGGTTACCGGGATTTCTTGCTCAGCCTTGAAATTAAGGAGCACGAGTTCTCCGACCTTATTCTTCTTTTTCAAAATGGTTTTGACTGTTGGAAATGTCCCACATTTCCGTGTACCCCGCGGGATCAGCTCGTGAGTTTCTGTCCTCCCCGAAAAGCTGTCAGAACCTACTCAGTTGGGATCGTGTTGACGTTGTAGGTGGAATCCAGAGGCCTGGGCGCCTTGAGGTGTCCGCCCGTGAGGATGCGACGTTTCTCTTCTTTACTCACTTCTCTCAGCTGTGGTTTGTTCTCCGTGTAGCTGTCTTGCTCATCCTTGATTATCACACCCTGGGCCAGAGGCAGGTGCTAAACCGCTGAGCCACCCAGGGATCCCACACACAGATTTTCCAAGTACCTACTTGTCACCCATTTCTTATATAATTCCATTGAGGTCAGAAAACATACTGTAGGGGCATCCGGGGGGCTCAGTCGGTTAAGCGTCTGCCTTCCGCTCAGATCACAATCTTGGGGTCCCGGGATCGAGCCCCACATGGAGCTCCTGCTCAGCAGGTAGCCTACTTCCTCCTGTCCTCCCTGCTTGTACTCTCTCTCTCTCTCTCTCTCTCTCTCTCTGGCTATCACTTTCTCTCTCAAATAAATAAATAAAATCTTTAAGAATAAAGGAAGAAAAAAGAAAAAACATGCTCCATGCTACTTGAATGGCTCTAAAGGTACTGAGGCATGTTTTTGGCTCAGCCTGTCTTGCTGAGCATCCCATGCTCGTGTGAGAAGAGCAAGCACAGTGATACTGGTGGATGCAGGGTCAATAAATATCAATTACGTCAAATATTGTTCAAATATTCCATGTCCTCACTGTTTTTTGTTTGTTAGTTTGTCTTATTTGTTTTACTTGGCTGGTTGTTTTTGTCTACTTGCTCTAACAATTCATGCTAGAAGGGCATTAAACTGTCTGTGATAGCAGAATTATCCATCTCAAATTGTAGTCCTGTTTATTTTTGCCTCATAGTTTGAATTCTTGTTATTAGGCGCATACACGTTTAGTATTTTATGTCTTCATGATGCACTGACTCTCCATCACTATGAAATGTCCCCTCTTATCTCCCCTGACACTCTTTTCCTTGATTTCTACTTTTTGTGGAGTTGATAGAGCCACACCAACTTTCTCATGCTGTTTTCTTTGTATACCCTTCAAGAAATTTACTTCTGATTCATCTCTGTCTGTATATTTCAAGTGTGTTTCTCATAAAAAGCATATGCTTGGGTCTTGCTTTTTTTAAGAATTTATTTATTTACTCATGAAGGACCCAGAGAGAGAGAGACGCAGAGGCACAGGCAGAGGGAGAAGCAGGCTCCCTGCAGGAGCCCGATGTGGGACTCGATCCCAGGACCCTGGGGTCACGCCTTGGGCCAAAGGGAGATGCTCAACCGCTGAGCCTCCCAGGTGCCCTGGGTCTTGCTTTTATATTCACTCTGGACAGTTTCGACTTGTTGATTGCAGTGTTTGTACCATTTACATTTAGTGTAACCACTGATAGGCTTGGTTTTATTCTACTGTCTTGGTAATTGTTTTCTATTTGTCTCATTAAAAACACATTTTTACCTTCCTCATTTCTGGACTTATTTTGGGTTATTTTCATATTTATGTAGCATTCCATTTTATGTTTTCTTTTTCTTTTTTTTTTGCTATTTTATGTTTTCTAATGGTATTTCTAAGCTGTACTTATTTTGCTTATTGTTTTAGTAATTATTCTGAAATTATTATATGCATAGCTTTTATTCAAATAATTTCATGTTACTTCAAAAACAATTTAAGACCTTCACAATAATATGTTACATTTATCTCTCCCATCCTTTGTGCTCTTGTTGCTATATATTTTACTTCTACATGTGCTGTTATAAACCCTACAATAGGGGCAGCCCAGATGGCTCAGCGGTTTGGCGCCGCCTTCAGTCCAGTGCGTGATCCCGGAGTCCCGGGATCAAGTCCCACGTCGGGCTCCCTGCATGGAGCCTGCTTCTCCCTCTGCCTGGGTCTCTGCCTCTCTCTGTGTGTCTCTCAGGAATAAATGAATAAAATCTTTAATAAATAAATAAACCCTACAATATGTTATTAATATTTTTGTTTTAAATGGTCACTTTAACTACGCGTGCACACGCACACACTTCAGTTATCTGGTGAATTTCTTTATCTTCACAGTATGTTAATTGTAATCTTTTTCAAGTCTTTGTCTGATAACTCCCAACATCTGCAGCCTCTAACAGGTCCCTTTCTATTGTCTTTTATATCTTGGTTTTCAGTCATTGGGCTTGCTTCTTGATACAGGTAATAATTTTGTTGAATAAGACTTTATGTTTTTATGTAGATCATTTGAGCCGCTGAATGATATCAACTTTTTCCAGAGGGAATTGGCTTTTGATTTGGGGAAATCAGAGCAGGGGCAGATCGCCTGTATCCAGTCTGGGCTCACACTGGTTTGTAAGTGGGTTTCAATCCCTCATGAAGAGCGGCCTATTTCTGGTGTGCCCCGGGGTGCAACACCGCTCTCTCGGGCCCCTCACTGGATGAGTCGGGTGTAGACCAGGGCCTCTACCTTCCGGCAAGCTCCACCACCAGGTTTTGTTTTCTCAATTCTCTCAGCTGCCACTTCTCATTCAGATTCAGAGTCCCTCACCCCTATACTGCTTGGGAATTATTTAAAAAAAAAAATACAGAATCTGAGTCTCCCTCCTCTCTGATGTCTCACCTCTCAAACTGCTGCTTTGGTGGCTTTGAACCCCAGGTTAAGCCTCCCTAGTCTCAAAAGTCAAGTTCCCAGGCCTTATCCTTGGCTGCAAAGGCTCTGGGCCTTGTGCTACTTCAGGGCTGGCAGATACTGCAAGGAAAACCCGTGGCCAGGTGTTGGGCTCGACTAGGTCCACGTCTCCTTGGGTCTTGGCCATGTGGCACCTCCTAGGCCCTCATACGATTGTGATGTTGCAGGTGTGCCGCATAGATTTTCTAGCTGCTCCAGGTGGGAGGGTTGGTCTCCAACAAACTTTCACCATTATCAGAAGCAGAAAGTACTGGTCTCTATGTTTGAAGATACTTTTATACGTTATAGGAGACTAGGATGGACAGTATTTGCCTTCAGCATTTTGATGAATCCATCCCACCATCTTCTGACTTTCCTTGTTGCTGTTTGGAAATCAAATGTCATTCCTATTGTTGCTCATTTTAAGCTAACGTGTGTTTTTCTGTCTGATTTTAAAATTTGTATTTCTCTGTCTCCGGTATTCAGAAACATTACTGTGCTCTGTGTCCGTGATGTTTTCTTCATGTATATCCCCCTGGGTGATTATGGCTCCTTTTAAATCTGTGGCTTGATGGATTTTACTGGGCTGGGGGCATTCTTGTGCAGCATCCGTTCAAGTATTCCCTCTCCTCCCCTCCTGCAACTTCCATTGTACACGTGTTGGACCTGTTTACCTTGTCCCATGTGTTACACTCTCTTCAGTGTTTTTCATCCTTTTTTTCTCTTCATGATTCAGTCTGGATACATTCTTTTGCCGAACTTCCAGACTGGTAGTCCTCTCTCTTCTGTCTAAGCTGGCATTGAACCTTTTGGGTTATTGTATTTTAAAATTATAATGTTTATATCTCATTTCTAGTTCTCTGCTGAAATTCTGTATCTTGCCATCCATCTTCTTGAACATTGAATCACAGCTACTTTATTTATTTATTTAATTATTTAAATTTTTATTTATTTATGATAGTCACACAGGGAGAGAGAGAGAGAGGCAGAGACACAGGCAGAGAGAGAAGCAGGCTCCTTGCACCGGAAGCCCGACGTGGGATTCGATCCCGGGTCTCCAGGATCGCGCCCTGGGCCAAAGGCAGGCGCCAAACCGCTGCGCCACCCAGGGATCCCAATTTATTTATTTATTTATTTTATCACAGCTACTTTAAACTCTGTCTGCGAACTCCAATATCTGAGTATTCAAGAGGGCAGGGAGGCATCGGTTTTTGTTTTATGTTCCTACCTGTGGGGTTTTGTTTTGTTTGTTTTTGCCATATGATCCTATCTCCTGATACACCTGGTAATGTTGACTAAATGCCAAATATAGGTGAAAAGTTGTAGAAACGACGTGAGGATCTTGATGACGCTATTCTTCTTCCAGAGAATATTCACCTTTGGTTCTGGCAGGCAGTGAAGGGAAACGACCCCATAGTCTCTGGTTGGAGTGATTGAAGTCCGAGCTTCAGCTTTCCTGAGGGATGATCTATTCCCAGGTCGGCGCCACTACTGGGTGAAGCCCTGCGGGGATTGCCACTAAAAGCCGGGATGCTATTTAGGGCCCCTCTGTCATGAAGGCTCTGAACTTGAGTTTTTACTCCCCTGAGGCCATAGCCACTGTCTGGGCTTCTCAGTTTCTCGGCCAAAATGTGTAAATCAGCAAATTCTGAGGAGAGAAGAGATGCCAGGTGGTGCCTCTAAGGTCTCGGCTCCCTAGTCCCCCCGCCTTGGCAGCTCCCTGAGGCCTCGTACAGACCCCTGTGCTAGGTTCTGGCCACACTCGTGTGGTGCTCTTGATGGAAGTGTTTGTCTGCGACGCCTGGTCCTCTGCCCCCTCCTGCCATCGCTGGGTGATGTTTCCTGCCCCCTGGACGCCCGTGGCCCAGCCCTGGTCACCATCTGGGTCAACAGCGGGCTCTTCCCTGGGAATGCTCAGCTTCTCCATCGCGGCTACAGGAGCGGAGGCCCCTCTGCTGTGAAAACACCCACATGCACCTCTGAAGCCCCAGCGGTCTCCCGCCCACTCTCCTCCCCATCTCGTCCCCCGCGCCCTCTGCACAAAGTTGCTTCTTTTCTCTTGAGTGCCCCTCACCCTCCCACTCTCTGCCAGACTGTCCCGTCCCCCTCCCGTAGGTCACATGCAAGAAACAGGCGCTGGAGGAGCAGCTGGCCCAGAGCCTGCGGGACCAGGAGGCCCAGATGGACACTCTGCAGAGGGCCCTGCAGGAGAAGGAGGCTTTGTCTGAGGAGCGGACCCAGCTGCTGGCCAAACAGGCGGCCCTGGAGAGGCAGGTCCAGCTCACAGCTGCGGAGGCAGCCGACCTCAGGTACCCAGGGCCCCACCAGCAGGTCGTGTCCACGTGGCCTCCGCCCTGAAGAGCCTGGAGTGCGGCAGGGAGCGGGCACTCACTCAGCAACAGCAGAGCAATTCTGTCCACGTGGGAGAGAGGCTGGGAGTGAGGGGCAAACACAGAGCCCGGGTAGGAGGAGCATCTAGGAGTGAATCTGGTGAGACCCCGGGGATGGGCCTCCTGAGCAAGGTGGCCACGCTGGCCAGACAGCAGGGAATCAGAAACCCAGTTCAGACCAGCAGAAGGAAGACCTGGAATGTCTTGCTCATGGATCTAAGAAGTTCAGGGTACACATGGCTTCAGGCCAGGCTGGATCCAGGTGCTCCCACAGTGCTGTGGGAATCCTGCCTCTCCCTGCTCAGTGCTGCTTAACTCAGGGGGTTCTGTTTCCAGGCAGGCCCACGGCGAGAGGGGTGGTGCCCACTCCAGGCTCCCTCCTTCAGCAGACAGCCCTTCTCCCCGCAAAGTCCCCAAACTGAGCCACTTGATGTCCCTGAACCAATCCCGGGGGTTGCTGGGCTCAGGTTGGCAGGCTGGGGTCAGGTCCATCCCCGAAGCCAGGGGCAGTGCCAGCCCCGGGGAACCGGGTGGTCGAGGGCAGGGGCAGGATGAGTTTCAAAGACCGTCAGGTGCCACTTCCGGAGGACACGAAATAGGCACTTGTGGGTGAGAACAGGGGGTGCCTGTGGCCGTGGCCTGGTGAGCTGAGCTCATCCCGTGGCCTCCGTACCTTCCTGCCACCAATCTTGCGGGTTCCCTTGGGAACACCCAAGTATTTTTGTAGAAAAGATTTCCTCCTGGAACTCCGGAATCTGGGTCACGAGAACCCTTCGAGTCCCAGGTCCTTAAACATCCTCGCAGACAAACCTCTTTTGCAAATGAAAGCTGGCGGAGAGATTGGAGCAGGGGGTCCCTGCCTGCCCCCTCCCGGCCCCAGCGGTACCCGGATCCTGGGCAGAGGCCGGCCGGGGCCTCCGCAGCCCAGGATCCTCCCTCCAGCTGCAGCCCTGACGGCTGGGCCCGGGGCCTCTGCGCACAGCAGGCCTGTGGCCCACACAGAGCCACGTGCTCCTGAAACAACCCTTCACGGTGACCAGCCTGAGCTTCTGGCCCCAAGTCTGCTCGGGGCCTGCCCTGAACGCACGCACGCCTGGCGCACACGGCCCCTTGCACACACGTGTGTGTCTCTCCGGCTGGCTCGCTGGGGCCGGGGGCCTGAGCTCTAACGAGCTCCCGGGGCGTGCTGACAAGCGCCAGGTGCAGGAAGTCCTGCTGCAGCTCCCTGCTTCTCTGGGGGCGCTGGGCCGGGATCTGGGAGGAGATGGGTTCAAGGCACATGAGGGAGCGTTCCCCGCAGAGGGAGGGGGTCACGCAGATGGGGGGGTGGGGAGGGACGTGGGGTGCTGGCGAGGACAGGGAGGAGATGCCAGGTGGTGAGGTTTCCGGGCTCTGTGGGCATCAGGGAGCCCTCGAGGGCGTCTGTGTGCTGTACCCCCCGACAAGGTGGCAGCGGGGGGCAGGGAGCTGAGGGGTCCCACGGCCCAGGCGCTCCCTGGCCCGTCCGCGTGGGTGGGGCTTTGTGTGTGCCCCCCCCCCAGCACGCACGTGTTTGCGGGATACGCCCCGCGTTGTCCCCTTTGCCCCACATCACCCAGCACAGGCCCTGGCCCACGAACACTTAGAACAGGCCCCTCGGCTGCCTGGTGACTGGCGGCCGCTTGCCTGGCCTCGCACGACTGCTTCAAGCCCCTCCGTCCCCTCCGGAGAGGAGTGGCCGCCGGGAGCTGCGGGAGCTGCGCCGACCCAGGACTCCCCGCGCACGCGCGCCTGTGCGCACAGGCAGGCAGGGGCGTTTGCACGCCCGGGATCACGCGGCGGGCGGGCGGCTCCGGCACCTTGCTTCTCGGAGGCAAGAGGAGAGAGAAGAGAGCTTCCTCGTCCTCAGTGACAACCCACTGGCTGCGCCGCCCTTGCCAGCATTCTGCGCTTCAGCAGCCCCGAGGCCGAGCCCGGCACACGCGCTGCCTAGAGCTGCAGTGGGCGTCCTTGCACACGCCTCACGGGGCACGTGTATTTCTAAGGAACCGGCGTCTGGGAGTGGAATGGCTCGTTCCTAGATAAGCACTCTTTAAATTTTGAAATTTCCCAGCCTCCGCTCCACAAGGAAAATGGTCCTCACATCCTTGCTGACGTTGAATGTGACCATTACGTAAAGTTCTGTCGCTCTGATGCCGGGTCCCTCGAGCTCGTGGTGGTGATCGACTGTCCTAGGGCACTAGTCAGGTTGGGCAAGCTCTGGATGTTCATTGTCCCTTTGCGTTCTCTTTGTGAATAACCATCATTTTTCTCGTTTTTCTGTAGGATCAGCTGACTTTCTGTCATTGATTGGTAGGAGCTCTTTGCATATGGTGGATATTAACTCTTTGTCCGTCTAGTGCAGATTTTTTTCTTCCAGTCTGTCCCTTGTCTTTTCAGTTGGTTTATGCAAGCTTTCCTGCACAACCGTCACCTCGTCTTTAAGTGTATTTACATTGCTGGCCTCTTTATTTTTGGCTTTTGGTTTTTGTGTCTTGCTTAAGACGATCATATAATACCCTTTGTGTTTTCTTCCAACTATTTTTTTTTTTTTGAGAAAGAGAGAGAGCTCGCGTGCATGAGCTCAGGGGAGGGAGAGGGGCAGAGGGAGAGAGAGTCTCAAGCAGGCTCCATGCCCTGCTGGGCCCGACACGGGGCTCCGTCTCACGACCCTGGGATCATGACCTGAGCTAAAGTCAAGAGTCAGACACTTAACTGACGGCACCGCCCAGGCGCCCCTCGACTGTTCTTATAGTTCTGAGTTGTTTATCTGTTGTTTGTTTCGTTTAACTTAATCCACCCGAAAGGTCACTTTGTGCTGAGCCTGATTTGGTTTTGAGATCAAAAAATGAAGGAGATGTTCCGTTTATCTCCCGGTTTGCGAGCCGGGCCGCGCCCCACATCTAGCGACGGGCCCCGCACCGTCCCCCCCGCAGGCCTGCCCGGCTGACGGCCGCTGTCTGCTGACTCCCTGCAGGGCCGAGAGGGACTCTCTGGAGAGCACCCTGCTTGACACCCAGCGGCTGTCGGGGCAGCTCCAGGCAGAGCGTGAGCAGCTGGAGGGCGAGACCCAGAGCCTGCGGCTGGCTCGGCAGACCCTGCAAGGTGCCCTCGGAGGGCTGCACTTCCCCCCCCACCCCCCGCCCCGTGGAGCTCAGCCCCCGAAGGAGGGAGGCTCCCGGTGCTGGGCCCGGGCGCAAAGCTGGGCAGTGGCCACAGGCTGAGTGTGGTGGCCCCCTGCCTGGCCCCCGTGCTCCCTGTCGAGCCCAGCCGGCTGTGGGTGGGCCTGACCACGGGGAGTACAAGGTGACAACTCGGGACATTGCAGCGGGCCCGGGGCGCTTGTCCCCGCCGGCTCTGGCAGCGTCCTTGGAGCAGGTGTTGCTCCAGAGCGCCTGCCCTCTGCAGGGAGCTCGTGAGGGCCGCGAGGGGTTCCCACCGTAGCGCCGTGCGGCCAGTCCCTGATGCGCCTGTCACTCCGCAGTGGAAATGCAGCAGCTGAAAAGTGCCTGGGAGGTCCAGGAGACGAAGCTCCAGTGGGACGTGGGGCGGCTTCAGCGGCTAGTGGCCCAGCAGGAGCGGGAGGTGCAGCTGGCGCTGGAGAGCCAGGCACTGGCCCACCACGAGGACCTGGCGCGGCTCCAGAGGGACAAGGTTCGCTTCCATTGGGCCCCCGGCTGCCTGGGCACCTCCCAGGAGCCCACTGTGTCCCGTGAAACAGCAGACCTTGTGGTGGGGGGCCTGGGAGAGACCAGAAGAGAGAGGCGCCCCTGCCGTGCCGGGGCCGGGGCCAGGGGAGGCCTCCCCAGGGGTCGCGTGAGCAGCCCAGGGCCTGGTGCACGGGTGCTGCCTGGGTCCACTCAGACCCCCGCAGCAGAGGCCAGGCCTGGGGTTGGCTGACCTGCTGCAGTCTGCGGGCCGGGAGCACCCCCGCCGGAGCTATCCCACTGGCCACAGGCCCCCCCACTCTTGTTTGACACATCACACATGTTGTGAGTGTGGAGCTCGGGAGAGGTTTGGGAACCACTATGTGCGTGGGGTGGGGGGAGGGAGACCCAGCTCTTGCTTTGGTACGTAGCTGACTGGAGTGGACAACCCCAGGGACCCGTCCTGCCCTGCTGTCCCGTGAACCAGGTCTCACTTGGGACCCGCTGGCCTCATATGTCCTGACCCACGCAGCCTTCACCGCCTGTCCCTTTGCATCGGCCCAGGAGACGCTGAGTCTGTCTCTGACAGAGGAGAAGGAAGTGGCAGCTCGCCGGTTGGAAGAGGAGAAGAAGCTGGTAGCAAAGAATGCAGCCAAGAGGGAGGCTCTGAAGGAGGAAATTCAGACCCTGAAGCATGAGAGGGATGAGAGTCTCCTCCAGCTGGAACAGGAGATGCAGCAGGTGATGGGGGCTGTGAGGCAGCAGGGAACCCACACATCCACTCCTCACGTCAATCCTTCTCCCACCCAGCAAGAGGCCTATGAGGGCAACCTTTCCGGGTCACTGCTATTGCAGCTTTGGTCTTCCTCAGCAGTTCTGGTGGACAGAGATCCACCCGCCTAGTCATCCATCCAGCCACCCACTCATCCACCCATCCACCAATCCATCCACTCATCCATCCATCCATCCATCTATCCATCCACTCATCTATCCATCTATGCATCCACCCATCCATCCATATCCATCCATCCATCCATCCACTCATCTATCCATCCATCCACCCATCCATCCATCCATCCATCCACTCATCCATCCATCCATCCACTCATCCATCCATCCACTCATCCATCCATCCATCCACCCATCCATCCATCCACTCATCCATCCACCCATCCACCCATCCATCCATCCACCCATCCATCCATCCATCCATCCATCCATCTATCCATCCACTCATCTATCCATCTATCCATCCACTAATCCATCAACCCATCCATCATCCATCCATCCATCCATCCACTCATCCATCCACTCATCCACCCATCCATCCATCCACCCATCCATCCATCCATCCATCCATCCATCCATCCATCTATCCATCCACTCATCTATCCATCTATCCATCCACTAATCCATCAACCCATCCATCATCCATCCATCCATCCACCCACCCATCCATCCATCCATCCACTCATCCATCCATCCATCCACTCATCCATCCATCCATCCACTCATCCATCCACCCATCCACCCACCCATCCATCCATCCATCTATCCATCCACTCATCTATCCATCTATCCATCCACTAATCCATCAACCCATCCATCATCCATCCATCCATCCATCCACTCATCCATCCATCCACTCATCCATCCACCCATCCATCCACTCATCCATCCATCCACTCATCCATCCACCCATCCATCCACTCATCCATCCATCCATCCACTCGTCCATCCATCCATCCATCCACCCATCCATCCATCCACTCATCCATCCATCCATCCATCCATCCATCTGTCCATCCATCCACTCATCCATCCATCCACTCATCCATCCATCCATCCATCCACTCATCCATCCATCCATCCATCCATCCATCCATTTCTCCACCCACCAATCCATCCATGGACTTGACTGTCCCTCCACTCATTTGTCCACCATCCATCCCTTCACCTGAATATCCATCCATCTCCACACCCAGCCGTGCTCCTACATACGTGGCCATCTAGCCACATACCTCATTTTCCATTCACATACCTAACCATACACCTATCCATCAATTTGCTTAAACATCATCCAACCATCCACACACCCGACCATCATCGACACAGTCATAGGACCGTCCATGTCTGCAGCCAGTCCCTTGACCATCTGTTTATCCACTCACTTCAACATCCTTCCCACACCCTCAGCTGTCCCTCCATATCCACCATCCGTCCCTGTGTCTGATGACCCATCCCCCTGACCAGCCAGCCGGTGTGTGGAGACCTGGCTGAGTGGAGGCACGGAATTTGGGCCATGTCAGTGAGAAGGCCCACGGACCCCACTCGGGACAAGGGCTGCCTCTGGCTGATGTGGGATCAGGGACACAGCACGTCCTGGCGGGGGCTTTAGCACCCGGTTCTGGGGCAGCCTCTCCTTCAAGAGGCCCCTGGTCCTCACAAGCACCCCGCCCCCTGCTGCCAGGCCCTGTCGCTGAAAGAAGCAGAGAGGAGGCTGCTGGAGGAGGAGCTGTCCCGGGCCTTGCAGGAGCTGGAACAGGTGCGGCAGGAGGCCCAGAGCCGGCACGAGCGAGCCGAGGTGAGCCCTGGCGCCCAGGCCAGGCATGGAGCACCCGACCTGGCATTTGCACTGCCCAGCAGGCATGGCCAGGCCCCCAGATGCACCCCATTCCTGCCCAGTCCCAGGGACACAGCCCCCTGTCCTGCCCCCCGAGCCTGGACCCCCCCCAGGGACTGGCCAGGGCTCCTGCTGGGAGGAGACACTGTCTTAATGGGAAGGAGAGGCCCAGTGAGCCAAGCCGGGTGGGGGTGAGAGAGTCAGGCCCTGCTCCCCAGCAGCAGGCCCGGCCAGAGCGAGGCCGGAGCCAGGAGGGCCCGGGGCTGCAGGTGACCTGCAGCAGAGCCAAGCAGCGCCTGGGCCGGGGCCCCAAGACACCAGAGCGGCCCCGGGAGGAGGACGCCCCCGAATGTGCAGGAGGCGCCTGGGGGCCGCTCGTGGCCGCCAGAGGAGAAACCCAGGCCGGGAGGCCCGTGCTGTGCCGAGGCAGGCGGTCCCGGGGGTCCCGGCCGAGCCAGGACACAGGCTTCCCCGAGCCTTGAGGGTGGGGTGAGGCTGCCTGGGATGACCAGGGGGACGGGCAGCGGCCGCCAGGGCGCCGGTGGGGGCAGTGACCCTGGGGGTGCTGGGACTCCTCCCCGTGGCTGCACCCGCTGCTCCATCTGGTGCCCCCCATGTGGCCGACGGGGAGCAAGCCCCCCAGGTGCGGTGGCCGGAGCAAGGTGCGAGGAGGGCACAGGGAGCGGTCTGCGGGGGAGCAGCACCCCGGGGAGCTGGCGCTTCGCACACCCCAGCCTCCAGGGGGCTGCAGCCAGGCCAGGCCAGCACCCGTCCTCCTGCACCGCCTGTGTCCTTCCTGCTCCATTACCCCTGCGCTGGGTCCAGGGGACCTGTCCCCACCGCTCCCTGGTGCGTCCCCAGCCCCGAGGTCACAGGCTTCACTGCTCCACCGGTGCTGAAGTGGCCCAGTGAGCCAGCGATCGAGCGTGTGGACAGGACACAGGACGCCGGGCGGCGGGCCTCGAGGAGGGCAGCCCGGGGAGGGGCCGAGGCACGTCCCTGGGGCCCCGCGCGGCAGGACACGGGGTTGCCGTCAGGACTTGGCTGCCAGGGGGCCTCCGCACCCCCAGGGCTGCCTGACGTGGTCACTCTGAGCCGAGCTGCCCGCAGGGTCCAGGCGCCCACGCTGCTCTGTCCCACCCCAGGCCGGGGGCAGTGGGGCTGTGGGGGTGCCCTCCTCCTCCCATCCTCACCGAGCTGCCCCCTAGCAGCCCCCGCCGCCCTGGGAGCTGACGCCCAGCCTGCCCTGGCGCTGGCTCAGAGTCCCTGCTGGGCAGGGTGGCCTGCCAGCCGGGCGCTCCCTCGGCCACCTTGGTGTGAGGGTGCAGGTGACAAGCACTGGGGGGTGCGGGGAGAGGCCCACCCAGAAAGGCCTGCGGGTGACACAGAAAGCGGCCTGGCCGGTGGAGGGTCCCCACCGCCCCCACAGGGGCTCCCTGGGGGCCCCACCCAGCTGGCTGCCGGCGACGGCCGAGTGCAGGGCGGGGAGGTGCCCGCAGCATCCAGGCAGTGGGGCTGGTGGGTGCCCAAGGGACCCCGCACAGGGCCAGAGCGGGGGGCGGGGGTCCTGGCGAGGAAGCGGGGGGCCTCGGGTGCTGCCTTGCAGACAAGGAGAGCCGCCAGCATGGCTGCCCGGCCCAGGGCGCAGGGACCCCGCCTCCCGCCAGCGCCCCAGGCCTGCTGGACGGGGTCCCCCCGAAGGCTGAGGCCCCGCAGAGCAGACTCGAGTCCGGGGGACCGTGTGGCCACCTGAGTGTGGTGGCGGGGCCCACGGGGCCCCCATGTGCACTGGGACGTGGGCACGGGCCTGGCTGTGGCCCTAGCTCCCTGCTCAACCCCCACCGCCACGGCTTGGGCCCAGGGTCCGCCGGTCTGGCCCCCCATGCACCCCAGCAGCTCCCTGAGGCCACCGCCTGCCGCTCCCTCCAGGCCGCCGTGGGCGCCGCTGATGCGGAGCTGAAGACCCTGCAGGCCCAGTTTGAGGACGCGGTCGCTGCGCACCAGAGGGAGGCCGCGGCTCTGAGTGACAGTCTCCGGGAGGTGGCCGCAGAGCGAAGCGACACCAGGAGAGAAGTGAGGGGGTGCCGGGGGAAAGGGGGTGCCAGGGGAAGGGGGGGTGTTGGGGGGAAGATGGGGTGTTGGGGGAAGGGGTGCCGAGGGAAGAGGGGGTGTCAGGGGAGGAGGGGTGCAGGGGGAAGAGGGTGCTGGGGAAGAGGGGGTGCCGGGGGAAGAGGGCATGCACGGGAAAGAGGAGTGCAGGGGGGAAGAGAGGGTGCCCAGAGAGAAGTGAGTGGTGCTGGGTAAGAGGGGTGCCAGGGAGAAGAGGGGGTGCCAGGGGAAGAAGGGGTCCCCAGAGAGAAGTGAGGGTGCTGGGGGAGAGGAGGGAGGCCCACCCATCCGGCTGCCCCCACCATCCAGCTCCCCCCCCAGGAGGAGCCCCAGGGTGGTGGTGCTGGCCAGGCTGGGCCTGCGTAGCGTGAGGTGCGGGCCCCTGGGACGGGGCGCTGGGGTGGAGGCGCCGAAGGGTGGGGGTCCCATGGGATTTCCAGGGGTGGCCAAGAGTGGACCCGGCTAAGGCCCCGAGGTGGACACGGGGTCCCCAGGAGCCACGTGACAGTGTCCCGCGGGGGTGGGGGCAGGAGGGCCAGGCCGCGCAGCAGGCAGGCGACGGGGAGGTGTTTGTGAGGGGCTGTGACAGGGCCTGGGGAGCCCGGGGGGGGGGGGGGGGGCGGGGGGGGGCGGCGCCCAGGTGGGGCGTGAGGGCCCAGCCCCCAGGCTGCCCGGGCCCCGAGCCAAGGCGAGCGCTGCGGGAGCCCAGGGGAGAGCGAGGAGGGGGGCCCCCGGGGCAGCCCCAGCGGGGGGGGGGGGCACAGAGAGTGATTCAACATGACAGGCTGTTTACTTTGGCCCCCAAAGAGAAAGGTCTCCTTTCAACAGATTTCAAAGTCAGGCTGGTCAGCGACCACACGGGGAAGCAAAATGAGATTTTAAAACTAGGGGCTGCAGCGGGGGCTCCAGGAGAGGAGGGGGGGTGGCACGTTTGCTCTGGCGAGGTGGAGGTGAAGGAAGAAAGCGCGGGCCCCGGGAAGGTCAGGTTCCCAGCGAGGGGGCCCCTGGAAGGAGGAGACCTCCAGAAAGGGGGGGCTCAGAAAGGAGGGAGACCTCAGAAAGGAGGGAACCCCTAGAAAGGCGGGGACCCCCAGAAAGGAGGGTGCCCCTGGAAGGAGGAGAACCCCAGAAAGGAGGGTGCTCCTGGAAGGAGGGAATCCCCAGAAAGGAGGGGCCCCAGGAAGGGAGTGGGGGAGCAGGGGGCTGAGCGAGGAGGCAGGAGGAAGCCAGGGAGCCCAGCGCTGAAGAGCCTCCCAGGCGCCAGGCTGGCCCAGTTGCCATGGAAACCACAACGTTTTCACAGCCTTTAAACTGGAGGAAGGTCCAGGCTTCTCACAGCCCCGCCTGAGGTCCACACGCGTGTGCACGCAGGCACATGAGCACACCCCACGGTTCACACACGTGCACGCCCCTGACCATGTGCGCGGGATGCACACGCGTGCACTTGTGTGTGGACGCAACACCCGCAGGGGGCTCACCTGGGCGCTGCGGGGCGCACGCCATGTGCCAAGTCACACACGCAACTCCACACGCTCACGCGCACGCAGGTCATGCCTGTGCACAGGCTCACGCGTCCACGCCCGCGCACCAAGCACACACGTGCGCGCTCGCACTGGCGCCCAGGCCAGAGCCCGGAACCCCGCCCGTCCCCGGCTCCCCTCGGGCTGTGCGGAGCCCTGGAGCCGCCTCCCTGCAGGAGATTTCAAAAGACCCTGTTTATACAATTTCTAGTAAAGAAATAATTATTATAATCACATTAAGTGATTTGGCTGTAAAATTCCTGTAAAGAGGACGGCTGCTCTCCTGGGGCGCGGGGCCGGGGGGGGGGGGGGGGGGGCTCGGGCTTTGTTGTGCTTGTTTTCATCTCCGCCCTGGGAAATGGAAAGAGCCTCCTTTCTGCGGGGAGGGCCTCGCGCTGCTCCTTGACCCCGGCGGATTTTGCTGAGCTCTGCGGAAACTGCTCCCCACGGTCACGGCCCCCACATGCGGGGGGGGGGGCGAGGAGGGGCTCGGGCCCTTCCCAAACAGAACAACAAGAGCCGCGGGGGGACGCGGAGCCGGGCTGGCCGGGGGCCTGGACGCTGCCGCTGGAACGGCCAGCAGCGTGGGGTTGGCTCTTGGCAGACCAGCGCCTGACACTGCTCGGAATTCCTGTGGCTTCCCCTCCCGGCAAGGCCCTCTCCCCCGGGGCGGGGCGGCAGCCCCACGGAGGGCCCTCCAGAGGCAGGCGGGGTGGAGGTGCGGGGCGGGCGCCCCCAGGGCGGGGGACCGGGTGGGGCCCCCGACCCCGCGCCTGTGCTCCTCCGAACCCCAGAGTCGGATGCGTCCCATTCGGGGCCTGGAACGGGTCCGACGGGGACAGGGGCCGCGACTCACACCCACGGCCCCCACCCCTGGCCCGGCCTGCGGGGCCGAGCCTTGAGACCAGGGTGGATGTGGAGCCCGCCCACCGCGCCCCGGGGGCCCCTGCTGCTCCCCCCTTGGGTCAGGAGCACTGGACCCCGAGCACTCAGGAGACGTGAGAACCTGCTGCCCGAGCAGTTGCACGGCCTGGCCCACACTGGGCCTTCTGAGGGCCGTCGCCAGAGGCCCCCGCTCCCCACCGCCTCCTGTACGATGGGGACCGGGGCCCACGCGACTGGGTGTGCCCACCACCACGCAGGGGTCGGGAGCCCAGGCCACTGGCACCGCCAGGGTGGGCAGCGGCCCCAGTGCCGCATCGTCACGGACGCAGAGGGCAGGCACCAGGGGACAGCAGGCAGGGCAGGCCGTCAGGACCTGGGTGGGGACAGTGCACATGTGCGGGCAGAGCCATGACCCATGTGGTCCCCGCTGACCAGTGAGCAGGGCCCGGGGGAGCCAGGCCACACCAGGGGCCAGGAGGGTCGGAGTGTCTCCTCCCTGGGCCCCGGGACCAGCCCCCATGAAGCCTCAGTGGCATGAGGAGAGGTGACCCCCAGGTGGGCACGTCCAGGTTAGCTGCTTCTCCTCCAAGTACTTGGGGACACAGGGCGAGGGGCTACCTCGGTGCTGCGGACCAGAGCCGGGGCAGCTCCACGCCCCTGACCCTGGCCCGGCGGCCGCACAGCCACCTGCTCCTCCCCCAGGCCGAGCGGCTGCAGGCCCAGCTGGACGAGGCCCGGGAGGCGCTGGCCGTGCTGCGCCGGGAGCTGCAGGGCCGCGAGGAGAGCGGCGAGGGGCTCCGCAGGGAGGCCCTGGAGGCCCGGCGGGCGCTGGCGGACGAGGCCCGTGAGAAGGACGTGCTGCGGCGCTCCAACGCTGAGCTGCGGGCCGCCATCCGCAGGGCTGAGCAGGACCGGGCCAGGTAACGGCGCGGGGCCCGGTCAGGGAGCCCGCCCAGCGCAGGGGCGCAGCCCAGGGACGAAGCCCGCGGACACGGGGGTTCCTCCGACGAGGGCCGGATGGTGGGGCGGGCTCAGCTGCCCGTCGGGCGCCCACACGGGCGGGAAGGTGGGATCCCAACAGGGGCAGCCCTGCCCTCAGCGATTGCCCATCTCGCAGGCCAGACGGTCCCGAGTGGCCAGCAGGGCACGGCCGAGGGCCGGGGAGCAGAGGAGGCGGGGCCTGGTCCAGGGCCTGGGGGGGCCCATGGGGGGACGGCGAGGCGAGAACGGCCGCCCTCACGGGGTGGGGGGCACAGGTGCCAGGCTGCGCTGGACGTGCGTCTCCGGGTGTGTGGCTGCAGAGACAAGGCAGGGGGAGGGCCCTGAGGGGCACGGCCAGCTCGGCTCCGGGCCTCGGGAGACAGAGCCCGGGCGGCGGGCGGCACGGGCTGGGCCCACCGGGACGCTCTGCTCAGCTTTCAGAGGGCCAAGGAAGAAGGGGAGCAGAAGCTGCTGGTGCTGGAGGAGGCCCGGGCCGCGGCGCAGAAGGAGGCCTGGGAGCTGCGGGCCAGTCTGAGGGAGGTGGAGCGGGCCGGGGCCGACGCCCGCCGGGGGCTCCAGGAGCTGGGCAGGCAGGTGAGGGCAGCCACCGGGCCCGGCCCGCGGGACGTCGCCCCCACCCCGGGGCCCCCGGGCCGCAGCGAGGGGCTCGGGACAAGGCCGTGCTGCTGTGCCCCTGGAACACTGTCCCCACACGGCCACCCCGGGGCCCGAGGACGGCGGCACCGCTTGCCAGTCTGCCTGCCACTCGGGCTGCATGCCGAGGTCCCTGAGGTCCCTGGGGTGCAGACCCCATTCAGAGGCGGGGCCCGACGCCCCTGGACTCTGGGGGACCTTTCCAGGTGTCCACAGCCATGTCCAGGGCTCGTGGACGCCTGCGGAGGCTCCCATTGTCCTGTGCACCCCGGAGCAGCCGTCTCCCGCACCTCCCTCCTGCCCCACGGCCTCCCGTGAGGAAGGTTCTAGCACCGTCCCTCTCAGAGGAGGCCACGGAGGCACAGAGCTGTGCGGGGGACCAGGTCCCCGTGAGCCAGAGCCCCCAGGAGCCCAGAGCAGCGCCCCGCCGCCCCGGCCCGCTGCTGCCCTCGAGCAGTCAGCTCCGGGGTGGTCTCAGGGCACCCCCACCTCCTGCGCCCTGCGTGCAGCCACCGCCCACTCGGAGGGCTCCCTCCCTGGGACACGTGAGCTGAGGCTGGGGTCAGGGGGCCCCCGGCCACCCCATCCGTGCCGCCCACCGTCACAGGTGAACATGCTGGAGGCTGAGAACCGGAGGAAGAGCCAAGAGGTGAGCCAGCTGCAGGCCCGGGGCGCCCAGGACGCTGAACGGCAGCAGCAGAGCCAGCGGGAGGTACAGCAGCGGCAGAGGCTGGCGCCGAGGCCCAGGCGGCCCACGAGGGCACCCGGGGGGAGGCGGGGGGCGGAGCGGCCCGGAGGAGGCCCCAGCCTGCCAGAGGGGTGTCGGTCCCAGGCGAGGCCGGGACCAGGGGTGCACGGCAGATGGGGCGGCCTGAGGGGAAGGACAGGAAGGGCTGCTGCGGACAGACGGACAGACGGTGGGGTCAGGGAGGGCCCTCGGCGCCTCGGCCGGGCCGCCGGGAGGAGAGGGGAGGGAGGACGGGGGGGCTGCAGTGAAGCAGGACGGAGAGCGGCCTGGGCCCGGCGAGGCAGGGGAGCGGCCACCCAGGGCCCCGCGTGTGCAGGGAGGCCGCGGGGCAGCCAGCAGCGATCACCCACCGCGCCGGCCGCAGAAGCCCGTGGTGGTGTGCGGGGCACCCTGAGGCTCCTGGCCCCAGGCTCAGGGTGACGCCGGCCCTGCCCTCGCTACCGCAGGCCCCAGGACGGAGCTGGCCAGAGGGGACCCCTGGAGGGCCCCGGCAGGGACAGCCTAGGGTCACGGCTCCACCCGGCCCCGGGCTCCCTCGTGCCTCCGCTGCCCGCCAGGATGTGCTCCGGGGCCCGAGGGGTCCTTGCCCGCCTGGGCTCAGGGGTCCCCGTGGCCAAACACGGACTGGGAGGCGGCTCCGAGGTCCCCCGGGGCCGAGACGTGCCGAGGACGGGGCGCGGGGCCGGGCGCAGGGCTGAGGCGGGCGGCTGAGGGGGGCTTCCCGTGCCCCGCAGGTCCTGAGGCTGCGGCAGGAGCTGGCAGAGGTGGAGGCCGGCGCCGAGGCCCAGAAGCAGCAGCTGGAGGAGCGTCTGCGCCAGAGCCGCGGGGTCGAGCGGAGCCTCCGGGCTGAGCTGCGCTCGGTGTCCGGGAGGCTGCGGCAGGCCAGCGGCGCGGCGGAGGGTCTGCAGGCTCGCCTGGACGAGGCCCGCGGCCGGCTGGGCGGCCTGGAGCAGGAGCTGGCCCAGGCGGAGGCTGCCCGGCGGGACTCGGAGGGCCACCTGCGCCGGCTCTGGTCCACGCTCCGCTGCGGCCTGGGGCTCCAGGGACACGGCCCCCCAGGCTCCCCGAGCCGCCCGGCCTCCCGGGGAAAGGTCAGTGTCCTCGGTGGTGCAGGGGCTCCTGTCCAGGCTCCACGGCCCACCTGGGGCACACGGCGAGGGGGCTGGTTCCCCGGGCTCCCCCGGGCTCCCTGCAGGTGGGGACAAGCAGAGAGCCGGGGGCCGGGACACCTGCGTGTGTGTCACCAAGTCCCCGCCACGTCCCCCCGCCGTCACTGTCCCGCAGGCTCAGACAGCAGCCCGGGCCGCTCCCCGCGGCACAGGGCCAGCTCCCCCAGCCGGGCCGGCTCACCTCCCCGAGGGCCCTCGCCTGCACCCGGGGACCACAGCCCGGCGGTGGACGTGGCCTCCGTGCGAGACGCCCTGAGGGACTTTGTGCAGAGGCTGCGGGATGCCCAGAGGGAGCGGGTAAGGGAGTGGACAGGACACGGCGGGCGGCTCCCGTCGGCCGGCCAGCCCAGGCGTGCTGGAGACCCTGGCAGGGCCTGCGGGTCACGGGCACCTAGGTGTCAGACTGGCCTTTGGGTGGCATGACACATAGCAGTGAACCCCACCGTCCCTCCAAACTGGACCGGAAGACCAGGGGGCCCAGGGGCCTCTCTTCCTCCAGGGGGTGGCAGAGGCCCTGGCGCCAGGCACCGTCGGACATCCCCTGGGGTCCATGTCAGCCGCCAGAGCCCCCTAAGCCTCCAGCCCGACGCCCCGGCCCTCCACCCCCGCCAGGCTGCCCCCTGACCTGGGTCCTTCCACCCAGGACGACTGGCACCTCCAGGTGCTGAGCCTGAGCCGCCAGCTGAGAGAGGCCGAGAGCGCGCGCGCCCAGGCCCAGAGCCACGCGGGGCAGCTGCAGACGGCGCTGGCAGAGGCGGAGGAAGGTGACCTCCCGTCTCTCCCGCCCCCGAGGGGCGTGGTGGGGGGTGCTCGGCCACCTCCCCAGGGCCCCCGAGGGCCTCACCCCTGCCTGCCGCGAGTGCCGGGTCCTGGGAACTGCTCGGGCTCGGGCGGCAGCGGCGGCGGGCTGGGGGCTTCCTGAGCAGTGGCTTCCGCATCACAAGGGAGTGAAGCCCAGGGACCCTGCGGGGCCCCAGGCCCTGCTGCCACCCGGGCCGCCCTCACTTCCTACCTTGGGGCCTTTGCGCTGGCTGTGCAGGCCTCCTGGGACCCTCCTCCACAGACAGTCATGAGGCCGGTGGCCCCTGTCGCCTCACAGAGCGCCCCTGCCCTGCTGGCCACCCCCACGGCATTCCTGCCCCCCTCCCCCTGTTGGCCGGTCTGCCCGGGAGGGTGGGTCTGGGGCCGCGCACAGTCCCGAAGGAGGAATATCTGTGGAAGGAAACAAGGTGGGAGAGAAGGAGAAGCAGGCGGAGGGAGCCAGGACCCCAGCCCCAGCCCCAGCGCCAGGGATCCTTGAGGTTCAAGTGGGAGGGGCAGGGATTGTCGGGGGGCCTCTGCAGCCCCAGCGTCTAGGTGTCGACACCGAGCCTGTTCCCCGGCCTGAGCTCGGGAGCCACGCAAGCCCCTGTTTGTCCGCAGCCTGGCGCCAGGCGGAGGGTGAGACGCGCACTGCCCAGGCGGCCCGCGCCCTGCAGGAGGAGGCGCTGCACAGGCTGGACGCGGAGCACCTGGCGAGCAGGCGGGCGGCAGGCCGGGAGAGGCGGAGGTTCCAGGTGGGGCTTGCGGGGTGAGGACCTGGGGACAGGGCGGGGAACGAGGAGGACAGCTGTGGAGGCAGAGCAGGTAACATGGCCTCCAGGGACAGGGTGCCCACAGGGCGCATAGGGGTGTCCGGGTAGGGCTGTCCCAGGGTGCTTCCCTGGAGGGCTGTCCCGAGGGTGCTCCTCTGGAGGGCTGTCCGGGGGTGCTCCCGGGTGGAGCAGCTGGGGGTGCTCCCCACTGATCTGCAGGCTGGGCACTGGGTCCAGGGCAGTGAGGGCCTCAGGCAGGGGTGACCCCTGGCCTCCCCGGGCCGTCCACCCTTCTGTGGTCACACGTGGGCCTCGGTGACATGGGTCCAGCCCCGGAGCCCCCGTGGGGTCACGTCGATGGTGAGCAGGACCAGTTTACTGTGTACCCAGACACGGACAGAGATTACACAGGACCAGTTTGGGTAAATGTCCCCACATACACACCTGTGCTGTGATGGTGGCCTCCGGTCCCTTTCAAGTGAGGAGGCTGGGCCGGTGGAGGCGGCCGCCTGGACGGGGCACCCAGCAGCCCTGGGGTGGGCTGGGATGGGGAGCAGCCGGGTCTGGGCAGCTGAAGCTGCCAGGCTGCCATTTCCAGAAAGTTCTCGGAGGCCCTGGAGGCATGGGGATCAGCAGGCCAGGGGGGAGCACAGGCCCCCCAGAGGCGTGTCGGGGAATCGGGGTCCCCAGCCCCACCCCGGAAAGATGGTGGGAGCAGCGGAGCAGGGGGCTGAGCGGCCTGGCGCTGCGGGGTGGGAGAGGGGCAGGGAAGCCCCGGGAGCCCGGCCGCCGGGAGACGCGGGGGACGCCTGGGCCCGGGCCGGAAGGCCGGACAACCCAGCGCGGGGCCCAGCAGATGTGGCTCCGAGAAGCCGGGCAGGTGGCGGGGTGACCCCGACGTCTACGCAGTCGCCCCGCGGATCCGTGCAGCAGGCGCCCCGCGCTGGGTCGTCCCCCGAGCTCGGCATCCCTAGAGTGACGCTGGATTTGCGTTAGGATGCGGGGCCGCACGTGCTGCCGTCTCCAAGCGTCCGGGTCCTCGCGTTTCCGTGGCGTGTCCTTCAGAATCTGAAGTTTCTCGGGCCCTGCGACCTTCCGCAGCTGCCACCGCGTGTCCCCAAGTGCAGCCGCCCCCCCCCCCCCCCCCGCTCCATCCCCATCCCACCTCGAGTCTCTGCCTTTTCCGAGGGAATTTATCCCCCTTACGAGCTGTGCGGTCACCTCCGGGCTCCGGTTTGCTCCGCTTGCTGACTGGAGGCCTGAGGCTTCCTCGTGGCTTCCATTCCGTCCCTCTATTTTAGGGTCGTTTGCTCTCCCTCCCCCTCCACGGGGGCGGGCAGCACGCGTGACCGCGAGCGTGGGGCTGCACCGTGCTCAGGGGACCCCTTCTCGCAGCCCTCCCCCCGCGCCCATGTCCCCTCCGCCCTGCCCCGTCCAGGCTGCGCCGCCTGCACCTTTCTCCTAAGTGCCCCGGTGGGGGTCCCTGCAGGGCCTGCCCCCGAATTTGAACCCCGCCCCCCGTGGGCACACCCCGGGGCTTTATACTGCACGCACTGATGGCGCTCCCCTCAGTGAGCCCCAGCCCTGCAGGCAGCGGCCCCGCGGGGTCCGGGGGGCAGTGGGGTTCCAGGTCTCCCGCCCCTGCCCGGGCTTCTCGTCGGCTCTCACCAGGCTGCCGCGGCAGCAGGACCCTCACGCGGACCCTCACGCACCGCTGTCCCCCTGCCGGCAGCCCGGGAGCCTCGGGGGGTTCATCCAGCCCACCTGGATAACCTGGGGCAGTGGCCCTAATTACACCTGCAAGGTGCCCGGGTGTCTCGGGCAGTCCTGGGGCCGCCCCCCCCCGGGCCCCCACCCTCTGGGCGGCCCGTGTCTACCTAGATTCCCCCGTGGTGGCCCCGTGACCTCATCCTCAGACGGGCTCAGGGAAGGCGAGGGGGTTGTGGGTTGAGTTGTTCCCCCCACGGGGGAGGCCAGACGGGTGTCTCCTCTGCGACTGTACCTGGGCCTGCAGCCCCGTCTGCTCGCGGAACCGAATCTGTCTTGAGCCGATGCTCCTCATTTCCACGTGAAAACGCCCCTTCTCCCCGCACTTCCCAACCCTTTGTCCTGAGCTTCGGGCAGCCCAGCCCTGCCCTCCGGTCGCCCGTCCTCCTTGCCCCGCGGTCTCCCGCCTTCTCGCCGCTCCGTCCAGGGCCACGCGTCATCGAATCCCCGACTCCAAGCCGGGTCGGTCCTCGCGTCCCCAGTCTCGGTTGTTCCCGCTGCGGCTCCCCGCCCCGGGGCCCCTTCCTGAGCGGGCGCGGAGCAGCTTCTGACACCTGTTCCCACGTCGCGCAACCACTCCGTTCTCTCCCCATTCGAGACCCTCAGATCTGATCCCGGGTCGACTGCCTCTTGCGCCACCGCTGGCTGTGACTGTCGGGATCTCTCTCCTCTGCTCGGCCTCAAAGAAGGGGGTCTGGTCTTGCTTGGAGCCGGGAGTGGAGAGGACCCCTTGGGGCTTCACATGTCCCTGTCCAGATGCTTCCAGCTGGAACTGAAAGACAGAAAGGGGAGCCCTGGGGACCGTGGGGACCGTGGGGGCTGTGGGAGTCGTGGGGACTGTGGGGACTGTGGGGACCGTGGGGGCTATAGGGACCCTGGGGGTCATGGGGGTCATGGGGGCCATAGGGGCTGTAGGGATCCTGGGGGCTGTGGGGACCCTGAGGGCCGTGGGGACCCTGGGGGTCATGGGGGTCACGGGGGTCATGCGGGCCGTGGGGGCCCCGCAGGGCAGCGGAGGCGGCAGGGAGCGACCCGAGCTCTCCTGTCCTCCGCGGGGAGGGCGCAGGCTCCGTCCTCGGGCGGCTGAGCTGCGTGGCGCCCCCTCCTCGTGTGCGGCACCTGCCTGCGGGGCCGCTGGGGCTCCGTGAGGTGCCGGAGTCCCTTACCCCCTGCAGCCCCGGCTGCGTCAGTGCCCCTGGGGCCCCACACCCGGGGACGCTGGTCACACCTCGCCACCCGTGCTGAGCCCACATTCCCCGGGACTCGGAATCGGCCGCCAGTGGGCAAGCGCGGGTGCTCAGATCTATGGGCAGCGCGTCCAGCCGCGGCGAGAATTCTGGTACTTCCGTCCTGCGGCCGCGGGTCCATCTGCCTCCGTGTCGTGCGAACCCCCCGAGTCTCTGGTCTCCAGCCTGAGGACGGTTTTCCCGATTTCTGTGCCCTGGGGCATGGAGGTGGGTGCCTGGGAGGGGCACCCCGACGCACGGCAGGCCCCGAGGGCCCAGGGCCAGCCTCCCCGCGCCCAGGTCAGGCGCCGGCCCCCCCGCGCAGGCTGACCCGGGTCTGTGGGGACACAAGCGCTTTCACTTTCGTGCGCCGGGTTCTCCCCCCGTTTCACGTGAACCGTTGAATGCGTTTGTCAAGAGAAACTTAATTAAAAACATATTTTTCTAATTAAATGGTAGGCTGTGCTATGCAAACAGTGAGATTCTTGTTCGAGGGCAAATCCCTCCCTGTTTCCAGGGCCCCCTGGGAATCCGGAGGATCAACAACGCGGAAAGGGCCCGGACGTCAGGACACGCGCCCCACACCCCTCGGGGTCCTGCGGGCAGCGGGCAGCGGGCAGCGGGCGGCCCGGAGCGAGGGGGCGCGGGCCCACAGCCGGAGGGGCGGCGGGCGGTCAGGGCCAGGCCACGGCCCCGGGCGAGAGGGGCCCGCCCGTGGACACCGCCTCCCGCCGGTTGCCAGGCTTGCCTCCCCGCCGTGGGCAGCCGGCAGCTGGGCCCTCCGTCCTGCACGGTTAGAGGCATCGCCGGGGCCGCCCCGCCGCGCGTTTCCGTCGCGCCTGTCGTCCCACCTGTGGTTGGAACCGTTTTCTTCTTGAGACCCTCTCTTCTTCCCGCCCGGGGCCCTACCTGGTCTCGGCGCTGCAGATCTGTCGCTTTCTCTGAGCCCGACCTGACAACAATTCGCCTGGTTTATTGGTCTTTTCAAAGAACCAGCTTTATCTCTCCCGGCGTCTTCGCCCACGATGACTCCTTTCGGGTTATATTAATATCCTCCTTTGTTGTTGTTGTGATTTCCCTTATTCCTTTTTTTTTTTTAAAAAGATTCCTTTTATTCATTTTTCAGAGCGAGCGGGCTCGAGCAGGGGGGGCAGAGGCAGAGGGAGAAGCAGGCCCCCCGCGGTCACGGCCTGAGCCACCGGGCTCCCGCCCTTGTTTCTTAAACTGAACAAGCCACGGATTTACGTCCGGGCGTCCTCTCTCAATAGAGGGCTCGGTGTGACCCCATTTTCCCTACTGGGGGTTCGGTGTGTGCACCACGGATTTCCGACGTGAATTTTTTTTTTTTTTACCAGTTTTCGAGGACTTTCGGTTTTTCTTTCCTAACACGAGGGTCACTGAGAAGAACGGCGACCGGTTTGTGCCTCTCCGGTTGCCGCATCCAGTCTTAGTGGGGACGGGGTGAGGCTCGGGGACAGTCAGGACCTTCCGAGCAGCTTCCGGGGGGATGTGTCTATGCTCCTGGCTCCTCGCAGGTTGGTTGTTGGTTGCTGGGCTCTCCCGTTTGGGTTTCGTCTATTTTTAATGGACTGTGTGGAGGGAAACGGGCAAGCTGGTTGCCGAGTCTACAGAGAAGGAGGCGTTTGAGCCTTTAGCGGGAATTTTGAAAAGCAGCAGCGAGGCTGATGATAAGGCGAGCACGGCCGAAGGGGGCGCTGGGGCGAGTGGACGCGAGCGGCCTGCGAGGGTCTGGGTGAGCCCCGACCCCGGGCTCCCGGCCGAGCTCCGGGTCCCCGACGTCTGAGCGCTGCCCACTGGGGTCTCTCTCGGGACCGGCCCGAGGCCCCCGGAGGGCAGGCCCCGCGTGGGGCTGGAGTTGGCGCCTTCCCGCCGCCACGTGGACCCGCAGGCGAACCGGGTGTGCGAGGCCGACTGGCCCAGCCCACGCCTCGCACGGCCTCCGGGCTCCGAACCGTGGCGACGCAAAGAAGGACACTAACTCGGAGGCGCACCGGGTGACGCTGGCAGAGGGCGCGCGGCCGATGATGCCGGTTAATCTGAATTCCGTAAAAGCTGAGTCATTACGAGAGGAGCCTAATGCTTCACATAAGTGGCCTGGGCCTCTTTAAAATACCATGAAATATTTAAGCCATATTTGAAGGAAACCTCTGCTTTTCTCCTGGAGATGTGCACAAACAGAAAATGGTGGTTTCCGAACTTGCAGGGAAGGGCGAGACCTTGCGGCTTTTGTCCCCACTGCCCGCTTCTAAAGTCCGAGAGCACCAGACGAGGAAGCCCGTCCTGGCTCTGCCCACCGGCCCCTCGTCAGGGGCTCAGTCCTCTCCCTGCTCCGAAGTGGCCTCCCCCATCGGCGGGGCCCCGTGCACCCCAGCATTTGTCACGGCCGAGTGACAGACGGACGGGACACCACTGCTGCGAATGCTGTGCTTCTGGTCTGGATGGGCCCCCGAGGGCTGGAACCCGTGTGGTCATCGGGGGAACCCATGGCTTCGGGCCTCCCTCTTGCACCCTCCCCACCCCTCCCGCAGCCCGGCTCTTGGGAAGAGCCGCCCTCCCCCCGCCCCAGATGTGCAAACTTCATCAGCAGCACTTGTCACATCCAGAGGGTCCCTTTGGGGTCTGGGTGTGCCGGCCTCTTGGGGCACTGCACGGAGGGGTCAGCCCTCGGCCAGCCTTCGGTCCTCCTGGGCAGCCGCCTCGTCCTCTGCCCTCTGCTGTAGCATCCACTGGGCCGGGACCTGTCTCTCCCTCCGCCCTGGCCATTGGAGGCTCTGTGACACTGTCCCCCACATCCAGCCCCTCAAGACGGAACTCTGGGCCTGCGCCCCCCTGCCCACCCTCCTGTCTCGGTCAGCGGGTCCTGGACCACCCAGCGGGGAGGCCACCACCAGCTCCCCGGCCCCCACACGGCCCCCCAGGGTGTCTCCAAATTCCCACTCGTGTTCTTCCACTTTGCCCGCTTGAGCCCGAGCTACCACGGGCTCCAGGGGGGACACCCCAGGACCCCCCCCCAGCACCCCAGCTCCGCCTTCCCACTCAGCCATCTAAGCACCAGCAGGTGTGATCCCTGGTTTTCCAGGAAGACACTGGCCACTTCCCACCAAACGCTCAGGGGCAGGGCTGCGAGTTCCTAGGTGGACTCTTGCGGGCTTGTGTGTGCGTGTTTGCTCATCAGACTTCCCCAGGCCCACGGTGTGCGCTCCAGGACCCAGGGGACCCAGCAGGCGCCGTCGTCCTGGGGGGGGGGGTCAGAGCCCGGGGTGACAGGGAGGACGGCCCCAGGGCCGAGAGGACAGGGGGCAGCACCCTGAGCAAGGAGCCGCTAGAGGCTGGAGAGTGAGCAGGGCAGGGGCTCAGAGGAGGTGGCGGCCGAGAGCCACTGCAGCCCCAGGGCGATGAAACGGCACAATTCAACACGCAGACTGGGGCGAGCGGTCGGGCCACCCGAGGAGCATGCCTGGGGACAGGAAAGGGAGGGCCGCGGGTGGCCGAGCCATGGACCACGGCTGCGGCAGGCCGAAGCAACAGGGCCAAGGACGGTCAGGGGTGGGTGCGCGGGTGCGGGGGGAGGAGGGCCCGCGCCGCTTGAGCCTGGGGTGTGCGGGTGCCCGTCGGGCAGGGAGCAGTGTCCTGGGACGCAGGCTGCTGGGCCCACGGCGGAGGGACGTGCCGGGCAGGGGCACGGGTGGTGGACCTCAGAGGCAGCAGCTCGGGAGAGCCGCGCGGGCCTGAGCTCTACAGGCTCGGACGCTTGGGGGACGGGCCGCTCCGGCTCATCCCAGGGGGACGGAGGCAGCGCGGCCAGCGCAGAGCCCCAGGCGGAGCCCCTCGGGGTCCTGCACCCCAGCGCCTGCCCACCGCGGCCACACCCTAAGCCGCGAGACCAGCGCCCGCAGGCCCGTCGCGGTCCGAGCGCCGCGGCGCCCCCTGCCCCCGGCACCCCCAGGCCGTGTTCCCAGGAGACCCCACGTCTTCCTCCCTAGGAGCGACTGGACGCGCTGCACAGGGCGCTGGGTGAGAGCCGGAGGCACAGCCAGGGCCGGGCCCGGCGCTGGAAGGGGCCGCAGGAGCAGGCGGCCCGGCGGGAGGGCGCGCGGAGCCCTGGCGGCAGGGGAGGGGGGGGAGGGGCGCCCCCGGCGGCCGGGCAGGTGTTCGCACCTGGAGCCTCCCAGACGCCATCCGACCGCCAGCGGACCGACGGGGAAACTGAGGCGGGAGGGAGCCCGACACCCTACGACACGGGGTCGGCTGTGGACACGCAGCCCAGCGGGGAGAGCCTGGAGGCCCCCGGCAGCCGCCTCCCCTCGGCGGGGCGGTGAGCGCGGGCAGGGGAGCAGGCGCCGAGCGCGGGCGGGCCGGCCTGCAGGGGGAGCTCAAGGGGCTGCACGCGCGGGGGGCGGGGGCGGGGGCTACGGGGGCGGGGCCTCGGTTGCAGGGGCGGGGCAAGGGGCGTGGTCACAGGTACGGGGGGGGAGGGCGGGGCGGTGGCTGTAGGGGGCGGGCCCGCGGCTGCGGAGGCGGGGAAGGGGCGGGGCCTCTGCTGCGTGGGCGGGGAGGGGGGCGTGGTCAGTGTTGCAGGGGCGGGAAGGGGCGTGGTCACCACCGCAGGGGCGGGGCCTCTGTTGCAGGGGCGGGGCCGCGGCTGAAGGGGGCGGTTGGGGCCCCGGACCGGCTGCATCCCATGGGGGTCGACCTGCGAGCTGCGGGTGGCAGGAGGGGGGGCAGCTCTGCACCCGCCCGGCCCTCTCCAAGCCCAGGGCCGCCGGCCCAGGTGGGGGACCCTACAGACACCCGCTCCCTTTGCTGTCCTTGGGGGGGGCACCACAGGTCACAGCAAAGGCCCAGCTCTGTCCCCAGTGTGTGAGCCACAGCCCCCAGGGACTGGGTGGCCTGGCACCCGCCTACCCCTGGAGCCCCGGATCCTCTGGCTGGAGATGCCCGCGGCTCAGGGAGTGCCCCCCACACTGGACCAGGCGACAGGGTAGCTCAGGGGGGCACAGTCGCCAAGGGGGAGCCGGGCTTCCACCCCAGAGGTCTCCACAGCGGGCAGGAGCGAGACCCGGAGGCCGGCAGCGACCGGGGGGCCAGGGCAGGGCAGTGAGCCGCCCGGACACATAGGGAAAGGCATGAGGCCCAGGGGCAGGGCCCAGCCCAGGCGCCCACCGGCCAGTGACTCACAGGGCACACTCCCCAGGTGTGAGTGGATGTGGTCTCCGCGGAGGAAACACGCCAAAGTGAAGCTGCCTGGGTTGAACTCGGGGTGGGGCGGCCAGAGCATCTTCTGGGGCCCAGAGAAGGGAAAAGGGCCCCTGGAGCAGGCCCCACGCCCACTTAGGGCTCTGTGGGCCCAGCGGCGGGAGTCTGCGGGCAGCGGGGCCTCCCCGCAAACTGCCCCGCGGGCCGCTCCCTGGTCCCGGATGTGCCGCCTGAGCCCTGCAGGAACAGGGAGGGGACTGGGTGTGTGGCAGGCGCCAGCCAGGCTGTGGGCACGCGGTTCCGGCGGGACGCGGACTCGAGCAGGGAATATGGGGGAATCGGGCAACAGGGCAGTTTGGGGGCAGCCTTTGCTGGGCTTGTGACCCAGCGTCCGAGGCACCTGACCCTTCCAGCTCAGTGACCCCCTTACAAAGTGGGCAAGCAGGAGTCCCGGTTGCTGAGGCCTCAGCCGCGGTCCCCAGAGTAGGGTGGCCTTCCCAGGCTTCAGATGGGTGTGTCCTGCCGCCCTGGCGCCTGGCGGCCGTGACCAGGAACCTCAGTGAGCACGCCTGTGCCCCGTCTGGGCGAAGACCCTCGCCGCCTGTCCCCTAGAGCAGGGCCGACACCGAGTGCGGGCACAGACACAGAGGGGCCCAGGGACCAGACCTGCCGGTCAGCACGGGTGTGACCGGTCTGCTGCAGACCGCGGGCCTGCAGAGGTGTGCAAGGTGTGCACAGTGTGTGAGGTGGGTGGAGATGTGCGCGGGGGGGAGGTGTGCAGGGTGTGCATCAGTGCAGGGTGTGAGGGGTATGCAGGGTGGGTGGAGGTGGGCGAGATGTATAGAAGTGTGTGAAGTGGGCAGAGGTGTGCGAGGTGTAAGAGGTGGGTGGAGGTGTGCAGAGGTGTGTGAGCTCTGTGGGGTGTGCAGGGTGTGCAGAGGTGTGCGGGTGTGCAAGGTGTGCAGGGTGTACGAGGTGTGCAGAGGTGTGCGGGTAAGTGGGGTGTGTGGGTATGCGGGGTGTGCAGGGTGTTCGGGCGTGCAGATGTGCAGCGTGCACGAGGTGTGCGAGGTGTGCCAACATGCCCCCCCCCCCGCCTGAAGGGAGCAGCCCCAGAACGGAGGGCGTTGGTCGCTCGCGGCCGTCAGGGCAGCAGTGTCCGGCCAGGGCCTCTCGGGGCGCCGCAGACCCAGGCCCCCCCAGCTCGCCTCCGCTCCCCCTGCTCACCGACACCTGCCCAGAGCGCCTTAGGTGGGGCTGGCTCGCGGGCGAGGGTCAGGGCGCCACGCGGGCCAGGCTTGGCCTCAGTGCCCCATCGTCGCCGGGGGTGAGCGGCGGGTGGCAGGTGCCCAGAGCTCACACTTGGGAGGACGGAGGCGCCGGCGCAGCCCGCGGTCAGCAGCGGGGAGGGCAGAGCAGGCGGGACGGGCGGTGCCGTGTCCAGAGCAAGACGCACAACCGGGGGCAGCCAGGTCCCCTGAGAGCAGCCGAGCCTCCCCAGGTCTCCCCGTGCCCAAGCCGGCCTCTGCCCGGGCTCCAGCCTCCGCCCCAGCCTCCGCCCCAGCCTCTGCCCCTCTCCAAGAAGGACTGACCAACGCACCCCCAGGAGAGTGGTGAGGCCCCACCAGGCAAGGGCACTGCTGAGCCTGGAGCCTCCGGGAGAGTGTCTGCCCCTCTGTGTCCCCAAGTGCGCGTCAACATCTGTCCTGAGGCAGGCCCGGGCCACCAGACACACACTGTCCAGCTGACGTGGACTCGGGGACGAGCGGGTTCTCCGGAGGGAAGTGGCCAGGTCAGTGCGGGGGGGCAGTGGGGGCAGAGGCCCTAGGAACAGGTTGGGGTCGGGGTTGGGGTGCAGGCACAGAGGCCAGCAGGTCAGGACGGTCCCTGAAAGCCAGTGGCCAGCTTGTCCCTGCAGGGCCACCTGCCCTCCCAGGGAGGAGGGTCGCCGACCCCCGGGGTCACAGGAATCCTGCTTCCCCCGAAGGGCGCCCACGCTGACAGGGGCCGAGGCGTCCGTGGCGGCTCCGGGGGGCACTGGCTGGGCCTCAGTGGCACTGCCCGGGGCAGCCGCCGCCAGCTGCGGGCCCCTGCGGCCCAGGTCGGGGGGGGGGGGGAACAGCTAATGAGTTCCAGGAGGTCAGCTGCAAGGGGCCCCCAAACCCATAAACCGTTTATTGGTGTCTCAGGAGGGGAAACCCGGATGTGGCCGTTTATTTATTTTGGATTTCACTTTTCTCTTCTCTGTTTAACGTGCACTTCCAGGAGCGTAGCTGGAGTTTTAAAGAAACAGGACTTCCCTTTTTCAGGGGACGTGGACTCTGTTTTTCTCACACTGAAGAAGGAGTCCTTGTTTTTGTCACGCTAGCCTGCTGTCACTGAGCGCGCCACCGCCAGTGACAGGACGGAGCCGCCCCGCGTCCGGGCCTCGCCGGGTCCAGCCCCGGGGGCGAGAGCCAGGGCAGCAGGCGGGAGGGCGGCTGGGGGGCGCTCCAGGGGGCTCGACGCCCTCGAGACTTGTCCAGGGACAAGGCCCCGAGGGGGACCAGGGACTCCCCGGAGGGCACCGTGCACGTCAGGCACCCGCAGGCATGACCTGGGGCTTCAGGTCCTCCCTCCAGAAGGGACCCCGCACGAGGGACAAAAGGAGCCCCCGCCATCTGGGCTCTCGCAGACGGAGCAGGAGAAGCTGGGGAAGGACGGGGCCAGGGCCAGGCCAGGGGCCGGGACGTGGACAGGGCCCTGCGGCATGACCACAGCTGCAGGCCCCCCAGGTGGTGGAGCTTCGCGCTCCCCGGGCCCCAGGTGGGTCCCCAAAGGCTCCCGCACACCCCCCCCCCACGAACGTGCACACGCAGACGGCAGGGACGGGCTGGACAGAGGAGGAGACAGCCCCGACAACGGGCCTGCCGGGCTCTCACCGCCCCGGGACCCAGGGCCCTACGCGGCCCTCCTGGCCTTCCCTCCAAGGGAGCTGGGGCCAGGCAGGCCTGCGGGCCGCTCCGGGGGCTGCCCCGTGCCCCCTCTGTGGGCAGCCAGACCCTGCACACTCGGAGACACCAGGAAGAGCCGAGGGCGAGAGGCGCCGGGGGGCCAGCAGCAGCCCCGGGCAGCAGAGCAGGAGCTAGGAGTAAAGGGGCTCTCAGGCCCCGAGGGGGGAGTCCAGGCCCGACGAGGCCCCGGCGCTGAAGTGTGAGCAGCCCCCCCGGGTGGGCTCAGCGGGCGCCGGGGCGGGCAGGGAGCTGGAGGACGGACAGGTGGCCCCGGGGGGAGGGCTGGACTCCCGCCCCGGGACTCCGAGCGGCAGGCGGGCAGGCGGCAGCAGTGGGTGCCCAGGTCCCGGTGCAGCCGGCACAGGGGGGCTCTGCGAGCTCGCCGCCCCGCCCCACGGGACCGGCCCCGGAGCCCAAACAGCATCACCAGCGGCAGGTGAAGGTCCTGGAGGAGCAAAGGGGGCCCGGACCTCAGTGTCCCGGCAGACGGAGGGGTGGGGCGAGGGGAGCAGCAGCCTCCAGCAGCGGGATCCCAGCACGGCCGCCCCGTGGGCCCCCAGCGCTCACTGAGGGGCGCGGCGAGGGTTCTGGGACGGGCCACCGCCCTCCCTGTGCCCCCAATGCCCTGCCCTTAGCAGTGGGGACCGGCCCTGGGCAGAGGGCAGCGGTCACTGCGTGTCACGAGGCAGTGGGAGCACTGTCCCTGTGCTGCCCTTGGGGTGGCGGACGTGGACGTGGCACCTGCCCTGCCCCCCGCCCCCCCCCCACGCACCTGCTGGGCTGAGCCCCGGGCTCCGGTCCCTCAGAGACCTGGGGCCACCCGGCTGAAATCCTCGTTCTACAGCGGCGGGAAGTGGGACCCGGAGAGGTCAAGGGCCACGCAGTGTCACATCACCCCCCACCCCCGTCAGTGTCCCTCACCCACCAAGCCGCGTCTGCCCAGCCTGTGAGCACGTGTTTTCCTAACTTGCGGAGCGCACGTGAGCCTGCGTGGAAGGCCGTGCCTGGGGCCCGCGTGCGCGGCGGTGTCCCCACGGGGAGCGGCGCCCTGCCCGCCCTGCCCGCCCTGCCGCAGCTGCGGAGCCCATCACCCGCCTCGTGTTTCTGTCCCTCACAGGCCACCCGTCCTC